TTCAAGAATAGCAGAGTAATCGGGTCAGTCCCTCCTAGAGTAAACAAAGGGACCTCATTCTTTCATTGGTTTCTTAATCCTTTCTCCCATGCAGACCTCCAATGGGAAGGCTATGATGTAAACAACAACAGAGTTAAGTTTGGTTATTGCCCTTAATCCATTTGCCCAAGACAAACATTTTATCCTCAGACTTATTACTCACTTTCCCAAGGATCTTTTTCAAGGACTTTGGAAAGTGCTTTTTAGAGGAGAGAGTATTTCTTAATAATTCTAGATAAATTAAGAAGGAGGATTTTAGTATGATTTCACATTGGTATTGCCCAGTCATACAGCTACTAAGTAAGGAAGTTATGACTAGAACCCAGGTTCTCTGATTCCAAGTCTTTCCTAAAGGGAACTAAATGGAAAAGTGGGTAGAGAGCTGGACTTGGAGTCATGAAGACCTGAGTTCAAATCCTGCTTCGCATACTTACTAGCTTTGTGACTCTGAGCAAGTCACTTAACCTCTGTGATCTTCAGTTTTTTCCGTTTGTACAATGGAAATAGGGCAGCTAGGTGGCACAGTGGATAGAGCTCCAGCTCTGGGGACCTGAATTCACATTCTTTGGGGTTAAATAACTTACCCAGGGTCACATAGCTAGTAAGTGTTATGTGTCTGAGGCCGGATTTGAACTCGGGCCCTCCTGAATCCAGGGCCAGTGCTATATCTGCTGCACCACCTAGCTGCCCCTGGGGACCCGAATTCAAATCCAGCCTCAGACACTTAACTAACATTGTGACCATGGGCAAGTCATTTCACCCTGTTTGCCTCAGTTTCCCCATCTGTAAAATGAACCAAAGAAGGAGATGACAAACCATTTTAGGATCTTTGCCAAGAAAACCTCAAAGGGTCATGAAGAGTCAGATATGACTGAAAAACAACTGAATAACAACAAAATGGGTATAATAATAACACCAGCTAAGTAAAGAGAAGGTATGACTTGAATCTACATCCTTGGATTCCAAATCCAGTTATCTTTTCAGTACATCAAGTTTGTTGTTGTTGTTAGAGGACCATGACTTCAGGAAGGTGATGCCATGACATGCAAGAGAATTGGATTTAAGTGAGGGAGCAGGTAGGTAATCAGTCTGGACCGTTTAGGGCCACACATTTTCCTGATTTGGTTTAGTTTTCCTATTGCTCAAATGCACCACTTCACTCTGCCTTATTCAGCGCTTCTGAAGCAATGCAGGTCACGCCTCACAGTTTAAGAAGTGCAGAAGGAGTCACGGGAGGAAAAAGTGTAAGAAGCCCTGATCTTAGATAACCCATCAGGTCACCACAGAATGGTGCCTATATGTGACAGGATGCCCCAGTTCACAGGTGATGCACACTCTTGAGTTTCAGAGCAGCCGGCATTGCAGGACTGAAATCTGGGTCAGCTCATCCCCAAGACTAATGCTGGCTGGCTGCAATTTCCATGTAAAGGAAGAAGGCTGGACATGGACTCAGAGAATATTAAAGCTGGAGGGATATCTTCAGACCCTCTTCATTTTATTCAAGAGAGAACTATGATGTTGGGGAAAACTTTCTGACTATTAAAGTGGTTCCAAAGTGGGAGGGGCTGATTTAAGGGCTGGTGAAGTCCCCTTCCATGAAGGTTTTCAAGGCAAGGAAGGAACCACTTGTCTGGTGTGTTATAATGGGTAGACTAGACGGCTGTTAGGGTCCCTTCCAACTGTCAAATTCTGTTCTATGAATTGAACCTTAGAGAGTGGAAATAACTTGCATGAGGTCAGAAAGCAGAGCTGAGATTCACATCTAGGTCTTTTGATTCCAAATGCAGGGCTATTTGCCCCACACCTCTTTAACATGGAGTTGCTAATAATTCCTAGCTCGGAAAACACCCCTGAGAAACACAGCATGGGATGCCATGTCAGTTGGTCAGTCAGACAATAAGCATTTATGAAACACCTACTGTGTACCAGATATGTGCTAAGCACTGGCACTACAAAGAAAGGCAAAACAGCCCTTTCCCTTGAGGAGCTCACAGTCTAATGGTACTAAGAGTGTCTTTAGTAAGGTACTATGAGAGGACTAGAATGGGAAACCAGAAAGATGTCTATGTCAAACCTCAAATACCTGTTCCTTTGTGGTGTCACTTGACCTCCCCACAGCCTGTCAAGCTGTCACGCATCTTCTTGAATACCCACTTAATTCCTTGACTAGGTTCACACGGACTTTTACCCACAAGGAGAGGCAAGCTTAGAACTGGAAACATAGAATGTGAAATGGAAGGCATCTTAACAATCTATAGTAACCTAATTTTATTTTTTCAGCTTATACATTCAGTGGTTTCTAAATTGTATATGATTGCATGCTTAGAATCACAGCTGTAGCAATCTCAGCTACAATCAGCTTTTTTTAATAGTGAATTTTTTATTTTCAACTTTTTTTACTAAGGTAAACTTGATCAGCAGCAAATGCAAACATTTCAGTATACAGTAAGATCATATAAGAAACTGAAATTCTGCTCTATACAAATTGGGTTTTAAAAAAGATGTGATATATATACACGTATATATATATATAAATTTAATAAAGTAGTATGACAATTTGCATCCCATTATGTACCTATTTTTGTTTTCTACTCTGCATTTAAAAAATCTTTTATTCATGCTTCTTTTTTTTTGTATCTGTCCCTCTCCAATATTCAATCCTTCCTCCATTGTCAGTAAAAGCTCCTTCTTATAATCAGTCTGAATAGTCAAGCAAAACAAATATGCATTTATGAGCCAATTCTCAAGATGTTTAAGGTTAAAGAGAATGTAATCCTATTAGGTTGACCTCGGGAATTTATAGAAGCAGTGAAGCAGCTGCAAAATCAAACATTTAATGTCAGTGACTCCTGTGCTGAATTGCTTAAATGGAGATCAAAATGTTGATGATTAAGAAACCTAGCTGGGGCAGCTAGGTGGCGCAGTGGATAGATCAGCGACCCTGAAGTCAGGAGAACTTGAGTTCAAATCCGGCCTCAGACCAAGCACTTGACACTAGCTGTGTGACCCTGGACAAGTCACTTAACCCTAATTGCCTAAAAAAATAAAAGGAAACAACATCCTCAACAAGAAACTTTTGACAGGTCTTTATAGTCTATGCTGCTCCTGCTACTTAAGGAATGGGGATGTGGGGCATCAAGGGAGAGATTCAGTGGCATGCTTTAAACACCTGAACATTTTTGTTTGTTCCATGTGAAGCTCAGGGCAGTGGGGAAGCAAGTCTTAGGTTTTCCTCATACACTTTAATGGATCATTATCCTTCCCAGCCTGCAAAATGGTAGGGACTTTTTTTGCCCCTGTGCAAACCTGTCCTTTTGCAGAGGAGCAAACCGAGGCTTTGGAGGGGCTAGTTCCTTGTTCAAGGTCACACATCTATTTAGTAGAAGAACTGGGATCAGAATTTGTTCAGTTGTTTTCAGTCATATCTGACTCTTTGTGATCCCATTTGGGGTTTTCTTGGCAAAGATACCATTTTCTTTTCCAGCTCACTTTACAGATGAGGGAACTGAGGCAAACAGGGTTAAGTGACTTGCCCAGGGTCACACAGCTAGTATCTGAATCCGATTTGAACTCGGGTCTTCCTGACTCCAAGAATTTAGGTATCCTGATTTCAGTCCCCTACCCCTTTTAATGACAATTCAACTTGACATTTTTAGGTGCCTCCACACGCATGGTACTATGTTAGGTTTTGTAAACCATGGAGTTCCACAAGCATGCCACACTACAGGAGAATTGTAGTTGAAGAAAATAAATAACCCCTATCTTATCTGTTTGGAAAGCTTGGATAGATACATTCAATGTGTAAAACCAGAACACTTTGTAGGGGTTGCTGTTCACCCAGACACACCCTGAGCAGTAGTAGTGGTTATTCTAAATTCAGACTCTGGAACCTGGAGCAGCTGGAAGTACTTAAGACTTCCTCTTAGACTGGAGGTGTTTGTCATCAGACAGCTTGAGCCTCTCTGAAAGGAGGCATTATCATTCTTGGAGAGGCAGGATAATGGTAATGTAATGAAAGGGTTTTGGACACAGGGTCAGAAGGTCCGAGTTCAGGTCTCATTTGTTGCTAGCTTTGTAATCATAGGTAAGTCACTTCAATTCTCTGAGACTCCACTTCCCCATATGTCAAATGGGGACGATAATAATACACTGCTTATAGCTCAAGGTTGTTGCAAGTTTTGCTGTGAGAATGCTTTGTAAACTGACAGGTTTTACTATGAGTGATTATTATTATTATTATTATTATTATTATTATTATTGTTATCTACCCCCAGTTCTCATCCCCAAACCTTAGCAAGGACTAAAAGAAAACAAATCCAGTACATAGTGAACCACTACAGATCAAAGACCAAATGTAAACCTGACAGCCCAGGTTCCAAAGTTCACATGTAAAGGTACGCAGATAAGATCAAACGTTAGACAGGTTTGGGGAAGAGTGGATTCTGGAATTCCTCCTCCCACACAAACAACAGGATGAGGTCTGTGGGGAGTGCCTAAGAGACAAGTCATTTATACACTGACCTAGAAGTCTCCTTGAGACCACTGAGGTATCCTTTGTGTCTCCAGTTACCCAGATCTGAGTTGAGGAAGCTATCCCCACATTAAGGGTCTTTTGGACACCTCCCTCAGGGGGCCTGAAATGGGAGAAGAGAGATGCAGGGGTGAGCTTGTACCCCAAAGTCCTCAAGTTACCCTTTTGATTCCAAAACACATGCCCCCTTTTCCCCCATTGTCTTATCCTGGCTGCAGATCTCAAGGTTTAATGTGAGGATAAAAGATCTATAGGGTATTTTAGCATCCTATATGTCATTGATTCTCTTCCCTTCTCGACTCCCACCTACTGGCAAAAACTAGGAATAAGATGTAAGGGGTGTGGGATGTTGCTAGAATGTAATGGTGGTACTGTGTGGTGTTGGCATCTGTACTCCAAAGTCATTTGCACTGCTGTTTGTGTCTTTCAGATAAGGTTTACATGGTAAAGGCTCGTGTGCTGACTTGTGTGGAGGGGATAAACCTGCCTTTGTTAGAACAAGCCATCCAGAAGCAGAGGAAGTATCACCAGGAGAGGGAACATCGGCAAGAGGAAGGGAGCCAAGAACGTGGGCAGGAGAGCAAGGACAACTCCTAGTGCTGCCTTGCACCCAAGCCTGTAGCACCTTGACAGATTTGTTGATCTTTGCTGGGAGCAAAGGTGTTCGTCTGGCCCCTGTCCCTTACTTGTTTTCATGCTGTGATAGAGGACATGGTGTGCCAAGAAGATGAGTCTTCATATTGTAATACTGGAAGGAATCCTCAGAGAAGGCAGCATATGTCCTATAGGCAGGCCGATACAGCCCACCCCTCAGATCTGGGGGAACAGATATATGTCATTTCAAACATTTAGCTGTTTCTCTCCATCATAACCCATATGCTAGTGTGAAAACAGAGCTGTAAAGGGACCACATACCTCTTTCCCCAAAGGGCCCACTTGTTTTCCCAGACACTTTTTTGTTTTTGGGTGCTGATGGGACTGGGTGAAGGTTAATGGAAGCAATATTTTCTTTTTCTATAGGGCTGGGTATTCAATAATATTAGGTGGTTTTTGTGTGACCTATGGCCCAACCCTCCCCACCCCCTTTCCATTTGGACCAGGTTGGATCCTTGGGGGCAAAGTTTCTTTCTTTGGTTACTGCCTCGACCCTCAGAGATTTATTCCAGGGAGATCTCTTAAATAAAGCTTCGGTATAGCTTGTCTTTTTAACAGTAATTAATTTATTCTGGACTTAACAGACACCAAATACAATGAACATTTCCATATACAAAACAGAACAGAGAAAAGAGGATTACACATGTGGTTCGGGTATAGCTTATGACAGTTAAACCCATCAGGTGTAGGACAACCTTAAGTTGACTCAATACAGAAAAGATGTAAGACTCAAGGAACTAAGGAGCCCATTAAGAAATACAGAAACATAAGACACTAGACCAATTTGAATCTCCCAGGCAATACTGTGGGGCCAAGGAACAAACGTTCCTTATTCCCTCCAGACCTACACTGTCAGAGCAACTCACAGAAGAAACAGGGCAGGAATTGGCAAGGTCCAGACTTCAGGGAGACGGGTCTCCGGCTCCATGAGGGCCTCTAGCCCTCCAGCTGCGGAAACCATGTTGATGGTCCTCAGCCTTTTCTGTGGAGCATTTTGTTGAGGAACTCTCCCTCTGAGAGCTCAAAACACAAGAATTTTCAAATTTGGAGATTTTCAAACTTGGAATCACTCATGAGGTAACCCCCAAGGCTGGGGAAGTGTTCCCAGGAACGCAGATCTCTGACTTGTACTCTTGGGGTTGGGGTTAGTGGGGAGGGAGAAATCCACCCCCTCCCCTCATTGGATTCTAGCCTGGAAGTCCAAGGCAAAGAAAATGACCCCCTCCTCTCCAGGGTCTTGCAGCTTCACACCTTCCTAAAGCCAACATGGGGAGCAGGCAGCCGGATGGAGAAAGGGCTGGGTCCTGGAGTGCTTGGTGACCGTCCTGCTGGGCAGGGGTGGGAGGGATTGGGACCCCCAGGGTGGAAGGTTCCTAGGTAGGGAAGGAGCCGGGGAGGGGGGAGCTGGAGACTCTCTGGCCAATCCCCTCATTTCCCAGACGAGGAAACAAGATGTGTGGGTGGGCTCTTGGAAAGTTTCCTGGACCTGCCCGAGGTCACGGGGTCGTGGCTTGGGGCCAGGATTGGAACATGGGTCCCCTGACTGGAGGCAGGCACTAGGGCCGTCAGCCTGTCAGACATGACAGCTGACTTGGAGGCACCCACTGGTGTCCTTTGACCTCTGACCTCTGGGGCTGTTCCCAGGGTGCCCTGAGGAAGCCATAGCCAGACTGGGGAAGGCAGGGAGGGCCCGGAGAGGACAGAAGGAGGAACAGGAGGTTTGATCTTCCCTGCCCTCTGTAGGGAGCAGGAGCAGGGCGGGCAGGGGCTGGGGGCGAGCCAGGAGGGAGACTCCCAGTGCCCTGGAGGACCAGGCCCCAAGCCTGGGAGCCTGCAGGCTCCAGGGCTGGGAGAGAGCCTGGGGGCGGGGCGGGAGGCCCCCAGGCCCAGCACCGCTGGGAGGGGGAGCAGGGATGGAGGGGCTCGGCCAACCCTCAGACCCATCCCCAGCCCCAAGGCAGGCCGCAGCCCTCGGGGGGGGGGGGGGGGGGGGGGGGTCACTCAGGAGCAGGAGGCCTCGGGAAGGGGTCTGGGCCGGGTGGGCCCTCCGTCCCTGAGCCGCCCCGCCCTGGCCAGGTATGCTCAGGCAGGTCCTCTGTCGCCCAGGTGGCCGCGCTGGCATGGACGTGTTCCAGAAGGTGGAGAAGATCGGTGAGGGCACCTACGGGGTGGTGTACAAGGCCAGGAACAAGCAGACGGGGCAGCTCGTGGCCCTGAAGAAGATCCGCCTAGACTCGTGAGTGTGGGACGGCCCTCCCCTGGGGCCCTGCACCCCTTCTCAGGGATGCCCACCTTCCCCGGGCTCAGAGTCTTAGCATCGGCGCCTCTTTTGGGTACCCTGTTTGTGCCCTGGGAGCAGCCTTCTGTCCTCAATTTCTGCCTCCCTCAGGGACTTCCTTGCATGGGGTGGGGGTGGGAAGGTATCAAGGGAGTCCAGACTTGAGACACCTACCTTAGACGGAGAAGGTTGTTCTCAGGCCCAGAAAGTCAGGGGTGATGGTGGTGGGGCGGCATTTCAAATGAAGAGGACGATGTGGCAAGGCCCTCAAACCAGTGGCTGCCCCCTTGGCTCCTGCCACCTGTCAGGACTCTCCAGTCTCATCCCCTGCAACCCATCCCTTGCTGCAGAGAGACTGAGGGCGTCCCAAGCACCGCCATTCGAGAGATCTCCCTTCTCAAAGAGCTTAAGCACCCCAATATTGTCAGGTAAGTTGAGGGGGGAGAGGTGGAACAGAATAAGAGGGTGGAGGGGCCTAAGCTGCAGGGCCCTCCCTACCCACCTCCCCCTGACTGGGAATATGTCTAGTTTTTGTGACTAGAGTCTTCTCACCAGGCTACTAGATGTGGTACATAGTGAGAAAAAGCTATATCTGGTGTTTGAGTTCCTCAGCCAGGACCTGAAGAAATATATGGACTCAGCTGCATCCACAGAACTCCCTCTGCACCTGGTCAAGGTACCATGAAGTAGGAGAGGGGCGGGGCGGGGGGGAGATGGTGGCGCCTCCCACCCACCCAGACCCAGCTATACTCCAGCTAAGCCAGTTGCCTTTTTGCCCTTCTGTTTTAGAGCTACCTCTCCCAGCTGCTCCAGGGGGTAAATTTCTGCCATTCTCATCGGGTCATCCACCGTGATCTAAAGCCCCAGAACCTTCTCATCAATGAGTTAGGTGCCATCAAGCTGGCTGATTTTGGGCTGGCCCGGGCCTTTGGCGTGCCCCTGCGTACCTACACCCATGAGGTACTGTTGGGTTAGGGAGCAGAGCTCTTTCTGTGTGTGGGCTGGACTGCCACTCAACCACCAGGGCTGCCCAGAGTGGCACTGGCTTCTGCCCCTACAGGTGGTAACCCTCTGGTATCGCGCCCCTGAGATTCTCCTGGGCTGCAAGTTCTACTCAACAGCCGTGGATGTCTGGAGCATTGGTTGCATCTTTGCAGAGATGGTAAAGGGGCACATGAGAGGGTTGCCCAGGAGGGTGTGTTGAACTTAGGTTCAGTTCTCTGGTGTATGAGTAGGGCTGGCTAGAGGGCTGAGTAAACTAGTCATACTTCACAGCTACAGAATCCCGAGGCATAGCCCTCAGAATGGGTTACCCCAAAAGGTTCCACATTTTGACTTTCTTTCCCAAGCCCTAGAAGCTTACCCTGTGTTGGATTCTGCTTAGAGGGAGGTTGGGAGTAGAAAAAGGAAGTAGGCCCTGCGGGTAACCAGGAGTCCCTTTCCCTCCCTTCAGGTGACACGCAGGGCCCTGTTTCCTGGGGATTCAGAAATTGATCAGCTGTTTCGAATTTTTCGAACCCTTGGCACACCCAGTGAGGCCACGTGGCCAGGGGTCACCCAGCTGCCAGACTACAAGGGCAGTTTCCCCAAGTGGACCAGGAAGTCGATAGAGGAGATTGTGCCCAGCCTTGACCCAGAGGGCAAGGACCTGCTCATGGTAGGTGAATGAAGGATGGAAAAGAGGATATACAACTTCAGCTGTTGTTCCAGAATCTGGTCCAGTTAGGGTGAGGGACTTTGCCTGCTTGGGCAGGAGCCAATCCAGTCAGCCAAGCCGATCTATTTCTGTCTCCTGCATTTAACTTGCTCATCCCTGCCTCATTAATTAGAATCATTTCCCCCCACAAAAACATAGCTAATATTTGAGTGGCACTTCAAAGTTTGCCAATGGCTTTACATTTTGATGCTCACAACAATCCTGTAAAGGAGGAGGTGCTATTATTATCCCCATTTTACAGATGAGAAAACCGATCCTCAGAGTAGTTAAGTGATTTGCCTAAGGTCACACAGCTAGTAAGTATATGAGTCAAGATTTGAACCTCAGATTTCTTGGCACCAAATCCAGTACACTGTAGTGCTTCTCTATTTGGCTTATCTTCCTCGTTCTAATTCTCACATTTAAAACTGCTCATAACACCCCTCTTCTAGAAAGACTTCCGTAATTAGCAACATTGAGCTCTCATCCTTTCATTCTTCATCTGGAGCATATATACCCTTAAGTTACACTATTGCCAATCTGCATGTGTTTATTGGTTACCAAGTCACGTTGCACATGGATCAGATATTATAGTGTACAGAAAGTGCTTTGTAAACCTTAAAAATGCTGTATAAAATGTCAGCTGTAATCATGCTGATGCATGCAGTTTCCATTTCCCAACTCAACTGTGAATACCTCCTCTGGGGCAGAGATCACATTTCCTTCTTCTGTATAAAAATGGGTAATAGCTCACATTTATACAAAATTTTAAGGTTTGCAAAGCACTCTGTGTGTGTGTGTGTGTGTGTGTGTGTGTGTGTATAAATTTCATCTTCACAATAGTGACTGCGGTGCTGTCGAGAGCACTAGATTTAGAGACTGGATGTGGATTTGAATGCTGACTCTGGTCCTATTACCTGTGTGACCCTTGGGTAAATAGCTTAACTTCTTTGGATCTCTGTTCTTGTTCAGTCATTTAGTCATGTGTAACTATCCATGACCCGTTTTTTGTTTTTGTTTTTGTTTTTGTTTTTTGCAAAGATATAGGAGTGATTTGCCATTTTCTTCTCCAATGGGGTAAGGCAAACAGAAGCTAAGTGACTCGCCCATGGTCACGCAACTAGCAAGTGTCTGACAGTGGATTTGAGCTCAAGTCTTCCTGACTCCAGGCCCAGTGCTCTATCTGCTGAGCCGTGTAGCTGCCTCTGTCTTCAGTTTACTCATCTGCAAAATGGGGATAATAATAGCCCTTATCTCACAGACATAGAGTTGGAAGGAACCTTAAAAATCTTCTGTCAGGGGTGGGGAACCTATGGCCTCGAGGCCACATGTGGCCTTTTAGGTCCTTGGGTGCGGCCTTTTGACTGAGTCCAAGTTTTATGAACAAATCCTTTCATTAAGGGGATTTTTTTCTGTGAAGTTTGGATTCGGTCAAAGGGCCGCACTTGAGGACCACAAGTGGCCTGAAGACCACAGGTTCCCCACCCCTGTTCAACTCCCTTAAATTTATGATGAAGAAACTAAATGATTTAACCACTCTGAGCCTCAGTTTCCTCATCTGTGAAATAAGAATAATGATAGCACTTACCTGTTTTTTTGAGGATCAAATGACAATGTATTATGTAAAGTACTTGGCAAACTTTAAAGTGATATACATTTGATAAATATTATTATGGTTTCTAAGGCCCATGCTAGCTGCCCCAAAGCCCCGTAGAACTTAGCCTGAAGGGAATACTTGATATACTAGTAAGGCAAGACTCCAAGGAAACTGAGGCAGAAAACTGCAAGGGGCTGGCTGGACCTGGTGTGAGTGACAAGAGCCACCTTCGAGGCTCTGCCTTCCTTTTCCTTTTTTTTTTTGTTTGTCTTGTTTTTTGGTGAGGCAATCCCCCAAGGTTAAGTGTCACACACTTAACCCCCAGGGTCACCCAGCTAGTCTGAGTGACTCACAGACACACAAGTGTCTGAGGCTGGATTTAAACTCAGATCCTCCTGACCCCAAGGCTGGAGCTCTATCCACTGTGCCACCTACCTGCCCCACCTGCCTTCCTTTTCAGGCTTTCATACTCCACAGGTTCACTGTCATGTTTCCAGAGACATTGACCTTTTTATAAAGAAGAGCCTATCCCAACTTGAGCTGGGTGGGGAGCAGGAAAGCTCAATGAGGAAGGGGAAAGGTCGGTTGACTCACCCAGAGTTGTTGGAAAAGTCTGTTTACACATTCCAACATTTTTTATTCCCAAACTGGGTCCCATTCCAACTATTCCTAGCTGGTTGATTTCTGTTCCACATTCTCCCCACACAGCTTCCCTCCAGAAGAAATCCTGAGGTTAGTTGGGATGGCCTTCTACAGACTTCTCTGGGCCTAGGCCTGCACTCTCCTGGCTCTATGCTCTCTCGTCCTAATCGTCATTATCCTCACCACAGTCCTGGGTGATTGGGGAAGAAGGCAGAAAGAAGCCATTAACATGCTTTTCTCCTTCCTTTACAGCAGCTGCTGCAATATGACCCAAACAGGCGCATCTCAGCCAAGGCAGCTCTAACACATCACTACTTCTCCACCTGCAGGTCATGCTCAGCCCCACGCCAGGGCATGCTGGAGCATTTTTGCCGGTGAAGGGGATGGGCGTCCAGCTTCTACCCTCTTCCCCCTCCTCAGGCCCGATACCCAAAGTCCCTTCTGCAGCTGCAGCTCTAGCCATCTTTCCCTAATGTTGGGAAGGAATTACAGGCAGGGTGAGCTTTGTGTCTAGGTTCAGCTATGGCCTGGGGACCATGAGAGGCTAGGTTTGGACCAGTCCTTCTACCAGGTTAGTAAGAGTTCCCATGTTCTTTGTTGGGTTTGACAGCATCTCTTCAGAGTGGAGGGCACAGCCGCCTCATAAGGGTGAGGGAGAGGTGAGAGAGCAGCTCCCTTGTACTTAGGAACAGTGGTGGGTGGTGCTTAGGGAAAGAGGGCCAATTGGTTTTTTGTATCCACTTTGCTCTGCTTCTTAGGAGCAGATCTTTTTGACATCATTGACCTAGCCCAAACTTTACCTTCAGGTCAAAAATTCCAAGATAGAGGGGACTCTGTTCCTGTACCCCACATCCAGCCCCCCTGCTGTTCTTTTGGGGTTTAAACTATTTAGGACAGAGTTTAATTCCGTTTAGAAGAGTTAGAAGAGAGGGGAATTTTTCCATACATGGTCAGTGGCAAGTAAGTGAGTTGGGTGTGTTTTCAGCAGTTGGCTATTTACCTATGATGTAATTGCATTCATGTGGTCATAGATTCAAGAATAAGAAATAAAAATTACATTTATGAGCTTCGTGTTGTCTGTCCCTTCAGTGGAAAGGGACCCTAGGGAAGGGAAAGTCAACATGACTCACTAGCGTGCTGAAGGTGGTCCCTAGGCCAGGGGTTCTTAACTTGAGGTCCATGAACTTAAAAAAAATATACATTTCAATAGCTATTTCGATGAAATTCATTTTCTTTGTGATCCTAAGCATTTTATTTTATGCATTTAAAGTGTTTTTCCAAGAAAGGGACACAAAAACGGTTAAGAACCTGTACCTTTGGCCAAAAAAAAAAAAGAGATTGACATGTACAGAGCACAGACAGCAAATAAAATGGGGAGATATTCAGAGGAGGCAGGAGGTTACTGTTATTTCCACGGGGAAGAGTTTGTATTCGCCCTTCTGGATCTCACCCCAGACAACTTGTCCTAGACGCAGAATCAGAGGTAGCAAAGCCTCCCCATTCCTCTGAGTTGGGAGAAGTTTTCTTAGTTCTCAGCAGACGTCCCCACCCTCCCTGCCCCAACCAGACAAATTTATCCTATGTTTCAAGTAATGAGAGCCCAGCCACTGAGACAATAGGAGAGTTTATTGCATGCACTGGAGTAGAGAGGGAAGACAAAGTCACACAGACTATTGGGGCTAGGGACATGTGGTTAATTACTCAAGGTAGGGGAGCTCAGATACAGAGACCACTCTTCATGAGAAAGCATTTGAACATGGAGAGATCAGGTATCTAGCTGCCTTTGGAGGGTAAAGGGAATTTTATTTAGCTAAAAAAAGATATATGACCTTTAACATATGCCTTCCTGCCTGCTCGGCACGCATGAGGAGTGCTTCCGTTAGCACAGACGGCGCGGCCGAGAAGGGGAGGCTGTGCGGTAAGAACAGTAGTTCTCTTGGGTTGCAGGGAGGAGCAGCAGGCCAGTCATCGGGTCTTTCCGGCAACGGGCCATGGCTTCCTTGTAACTTAGCCGCTCTTTGGAGATGGGGTCGATCAACTCTTTTTCATAGTTGGATTCATCCTGGAGGAGCTGAGCTAGCTCTTCATTGATCATGCCAGCCAGCAAGGCCTGGGGAATAGGGATACGGCCCGTCCTCTTGGGGTCAATGAGTCCTCCAGTGAGGTGCTGAACCTGCAAGTGAGCCAGGGCACTCTCTCGGGGCATCCAGCCCTTCTGGATAGCCTCACCCACTGACAGCCTCTTCCTCGTGACAGGGTCTTCAATGCCAGTGAAGGCCTTCTGGGCATTGAGCAGCCTCTGAGTGGAAGTGTTCTCAATCAGCCCCCGGTCAATGGCCTTGTGGACAGAGTAGCGTTCCCGTGTCAGGAGGTCCACGATGCCTCCTGTGGCTGCCTGGGCCTCGAGCAGTTTCTGTCCAGTGATGGGGTCCAGCATCTTCTTGCCCACGGCGGTCTTGATGTTGCATTTGTTGTTGGTGGTTGTGTCATAGACACCTGCGATGGGAAAGGTGTCATCGCTGAGGCCGAGTGAGGAGCCCAGGGAGAAAATGCTGGTGGTTTGGGGGGCCGATGCTGGCGAGGAGAGGGGCGATTTGGAGATGATAGAGCCGATGGAGAGCGGGGAAGTTCTGGTCTCTCCAGCCACCAGGAGAGCAAACTCGGAAATAGGAAGGTGGCCTTCCTTGTAGAGATGGTACTCCTCCTTGGTGATCCTTCTGCAGCGGAGGGCTTCCTCGATGGAATATTGCTTCCCACTCTTCTTATCACGGAGAACAGAATCCTCTCCACACGGGGTCATGGTGGTGATGTCTTCCCAGTCACATTCCAGTTCCTGTAGCTGGATATACTGTCCCCGATCGATGATGCCTCTCTTATAGGCTTCATATGGTGACATGTCTTTCCCCGTCTCTGGGTCTAAGATGGAGATCTTCGTGGAAAGGTTGGTCTCTCTCATTTGGGTGTCCTGATTCATCTCTTCTTGTTTCATTTTTAGCTGGAGGTCTCTCAGAGTCCTCTCCTTCTCATAGATCTGAGCCTTCTCCTGGAGAATAGCCTCCTCCAGATGAGAGAGCTCCTGGTCTCGTTGGGCCCTCTTCTGCCGGTCACTTTCTGTCTTCTGGCTGAGCAGTTTGGACTCCTCATGTAAGCACAGCATCCTCTCCTGCTTCTGCCTCTCGAGCTCCCTCATTTCCTTCTCTAGCTTTGCTCGCTCCTGGCTGGCCTGGCTCCTGGTTTTCTGGAGCTCGGCCTCTTCCCGGGACCAGGTCCTCTTCAGAGCCTCAGCCCTCTCGATCCTCTCCTTGAGTCTCCTCACGTCCTCTTCCCTGTTCTGTCTTGCAGTCCGGTCCTTACTGAGCAGCTCCCACACACGGGACCTCTCATTTTCTAAGACTTGGTCCTTTTCCACCCGGATGACTTCCTTGTAGATGGTTTTTTCCTGAGACTTGGTCTTCTGGAGGATGTCAATTTTAACCTGCAGATTCTTGCACTCCCGGTGTAAGTCCATCACCTGGTTCTTCTCCCTGTCCAGATCCCGCCGCAGGGCCTCTGTGGACTTCTCCAGATCTGGGTCCTTCTCCAGCTTGACCACTTCCTCCATGATGATTTTCTCTTGCACTGCCAGAGGCCGCTGCTCCATCTCCTGGATCCTCAGGCTCAGTTGCCGCAGCTCCTTCTCGATCGCTAGCTTTTTGTCACGGTCCTCTTGGAAGCTGAGGAGGTTCTCCTTCTCCTCCACTGTGGCCTGGAGCTGCTGCACCTCACGCTCCAGCCTCCGCCTGTTGGCCACTTCCTCATCCAGGCTACGGCTGAGGCGACTGTGGTCCTCACGGAGCTTCGGGTCCGGCTGGGTAATCACCACTTCCTTGACTACCACCTTCTCCTCAGGTCTCCTCCTCTCCAACAGCAGGTACTTGTTCTGAAGCTCATAGACCACATCTTCTGTTGCTCTCCTCTTCTGGACCGCATCTCGCACCTCCCGCCGGAGACGTTCTGCCTCCTTCTCCAGCACTGGGTCGTTCTCATAGCGTATCACTTCTTTGTTCACCATCTTGGTCTCAACCTTAGATCTCTCTCTCTTCCACTCATCCCGCTCACCTTTCAGTCGGATGAGTTGCTCCTGAGACCGGCCATTGGTGTTGACCAGATCATTGAGCTGGGCCTTCAGCTGGTCAATCTCCCTGAGGATCTCGGGGCTCTTCTCATGTTTCACCACCTCTTGGATCACTTCCTTGTATTCAACAGTTGGCTTCTGGGCCCGAAGGATGGTCAGCTCTGGTAGAGTTCCCTCCACCTCCTTCTCAGTGGCAGTTCTCTTTCGTGGTGTCCTGGAGCTCAGCCCTGAGCCGAGCAATCTCCTTCTCTGTCTCTGGATCCACCTGGAAGATCTCATTGACTCTCTCCTTGAGTTCTACTTTGGGCTTCTGCTTTTCTACCATGCTGTGCTTGCTGTGCAGTTCCTTCAGCTCCCTGGTCAGCGTCATGTTCTTCTTCCTCTCTTCCTCAATGAGGTTCTTTAGTTTGATGGACTCTTTAAGGATTCCAGGGTCTTGCTCCACTTGCTTCACCTCTTTCACAATGACTTTGGGCTCTATAGAGCTGATCTGCTGCTCCAGCTCCTGGGCACGAGCCCACAACTTGGCCACCGCCTCCTCTGCCACCTTCCTGCAGCCAGCATCCTCTTCAATCTGCCGCTTCAGAGCCCAGGATGCCTTGACCATTTTGGGGTCTTTCTCCAACTTGACCACTTCCTTCACCACGACCTTCTCCTTCACATTTGCCTCCTTCTGTTCCAGAGTCACTAGTTCTCTCTTTAGCTGTTCCAGCTGGGCAGAGATGGTGGCATTGTCTCCCCGAAGATGTTCGATCTCAGCATTGATCTGGGCCGCCTGGCTGTCCAGGGTAGGGTCCCTCTTGATTTGGGTGACTTCTTTGGTCAGCAGATGGGGCTGAATGTTCTTCTTCTCCTTTTCCAGCTGGGCTATCTGCTGGTTCACTGCTTCCAGGTCTGCCTTCATGCTGGCCCACTTCTTGCCCTCCTCCTCCACCTGGTATTTCATTTTGGACAGGCTGCTCTCAAGCTTGGGGTCCCGGTAGAACTCTACCACTTCCTTTTCCTCTAGCCTCTCCACAGGCTTCTGGGTCTTCAGCAGCAGCAGCTGCTGCCTCTGCTCCTGGAGTTCCTGCTGAACCTGGGCCACCCGCTTCCTCTCTTCCTCCAGCTGGGTCTTCAGTGCCTGTGTCTCTGACTCTCTGCTCTGATTCTGGTTCTCAGACCACTGCTTGGGGTAATAAGCCGGCTGGATAGCCTCATTGATTTCCTTCTGCAGAGCAAGAGGGGAAAGAGTATATGTGGCATGAGGGATCATGAAAAGGAACCTTCCCTTCCTTACCCCATCAGGTCAGTGACTCCTCCCCTTGGTGTGTTAGGGGAAGGCATGGATGAAGCCCTAAAACACTCAGAAATCAGCAAATTAGAGGGGATTGAGGCCAGGTGGAATACTCGCCCAGCAGGCTGGGCAAATGCCCATGATGCCAGCCAGGCAGAGCACTCCTGTCCTGCCACCTGTCCAACCTTCCAAAAAGTGTAAAATCTAACTTATCCCCCATATTGTTCATTCTTTATGTGCCCTCTAGAGAAGTCTAAGCTGATTGTCATAATAGGAAAAGAGAGTTCTGTGTTGTACTTTCAAATGACAAGGATACTTGGGAAGAAGCACTTAGTAGCCTCTTGTGATTTTTTCCCCTCTCCCTCTTATGCTCCCCCAGTTTGAGCAGTGTGAGTGTTTTCTGGGATAGGCTGGACTTTCTGGGAGGAAAGAGGCCTAGTCCGCATAGGAGGGGAGTCCAGTGCCTATAGAGTGACACTTTCAAGACCTATATCCTGCAGGAGCTGTAGGCCAAGAAGGGGGTGTGCCTCTGTGGAGAACCATGGGCAGGAAGTTGCATCTCTTTTCCCAGCCTGCCTGTATCCCATGTGTGGGACTAGAGAGATGGGACCACTGAGTGATCAGGAAGTACCCTGAATTGACAGGGGAGGCTCCAGGATGCTATCACAAGAATGGGTACATTATCTCTGAATCAGGAGCCACGCCAGTAAAGGCCCCTGTGGATCATCTTGGTACCTTGTCCAACACCTTCTTGGCAAACTCCAGCTGGCTCAGCTGCTGTTGCTTTTTGGCAGCAACCTCAGTGAAGTGCTTGGTTATGTCCTTCTCCTGGAGTTGGGAAGGGAAGAAATCAGAAGATGGAGTCAGTTCTTTGAATGGTTGCTCCTGGAAGGACCAGGCCTACAAATCTATGGGGGGGACAGTAGGCTGGGAAGAGAGAAGCAAAGCCATGGAGTTTGTGACCCGTCCTTACCTGGGCCTGGATGCTGTCCTGCAGAGGAGTGATCCGAGGCCTCTTGGGGACAGATGCAGTCAGTGTGGGGTCCAGGGAACTGTGGTACTTGTCTGCCTGCAGCTCGTAGTCCTGTAGGGGAGAAGGAGGGGCAAGCAAAAACCTAGCAATAAGAGGGACAAGGAGAGGGGGGAGGCATATTGTGGAGAAGAGAGAGGGGCCGATGGACGGAGGATGGATGGAGAGGAGGAACAAAGTCGAAGAAGTCCACTTACTTGGAGAGCAGCTTGCAGGTCCTGGGATAGGTGGAATATTGTGTTTTTGTCTTTCTCTTTATTCTGAATTTCCTGTACTAGACGCTAAGAAAGAACGAAGCAAAGTCAGCAAAAGCCCAGGAATGGAGGGGAGCTGACTCCTGAGCCAAAAAGTACCTCCCATTCCTTTCCTCTCATTCTCTAAGGACCCTCCTGGGGTAGGAGCAAAAGGAACAAGATCCTAAAGATAGGAAAGACATATATATGTTCCTTCCACTTCATGTCTTCCATCCCACTAGCAGTATGGCTGTATGGATAATGGCCAGGAACACTTCACATATCCCCCATGGAACTCTAAGGCTAGTGATCAGAGAACCATAGATTTAGAGGTCATTGAATGCAACTCCACATTTTACAGATGAAGAAACTGAGGCCCAGAAGCAAAGTGACTTGCCCAAGGTGGTCACAGAGTTAGGAAGAGGCAGAGGAAGGATTTGAGCCCAGATCTTCTGACTCAGGGGCTAGGGCTCTCTTTTTTTTTTCCTTTCTAGGTGATTGGGGTTAAGTGACTTGCCCAGGGTCACACAGCTAGTAAGTGTCAGAGGCTGGATTTGAACTCAGGTCCTCCTGACTTCAGGGCCGGTGCTGTATCCACTGCACCACCCAGCTGCCCCTCTAGGGCTCTTTCTAATTCACTAGCTATAATCTGGCACTAGACCTTTTTCCCAGACCTTGAACTATATAGGCTTATAGATTTACAGCTGGAAGGAAGTTTAAAGATTATGGAGTCCAACCCCCTCATCTTGCTTTTCTTTTCCTTTTTGCTGAGGCAATTGGGGTTAAATGACTTGCCCAGGGTCACACAGCTAGTAAGTGTCTGAGGCTGGATTTGAACTCAGGTCCTCCTGACTCCAAGGCTGGAGCTCTATCCACTGTACCACCTAGCTGCTCCAACAACTCCCTCATTTTACAGACAGATTAATTGATTTTTCCAGGGTCACACAGCTAATGAGTGTTTGATGCGGGATTTGAACTCAGATATTGATGAGTCTAAGCCCAACACTCTATCCATTGTGCCACCTGGTGTCTCACACAGGCTTGGATCCCTTGGAGGGCGATAGAGCATCTTCCTGGTAGTCTACTGATTAATCTATACCTCTCAGTGTTGGGGTTGAGGAAGGGAGGGAAGGAAAAAGAGAAGACATGAGTTGTCTTAACCTCTGGAAACTGTGGTATATACTGGGGATTTGCTCAGCCTGTTGTTGTATAGAAATTGTCCAGCCTTGGAAGATGGACAAGACCCCTCTCCACCCCTAGCCAGCCAGTGTTGAGCTGGGCCTTAGGAGAATAGGGAGTACCGCGGAAGAATTTTTAACTGAATTTTTCCATCGGCTTGCAAGAATTGGACCAGGACATTTTCCAGTTGTGGCCACCAGGAGGAAGCATGTACACACATAGAAAAACAGGCGCAACGATTTAGAGTTAGAAGGAAATTAAACCTTATTTAGTCCTCCCCTCCCTCCACCCTCGTTCCCCTCCTTCATTTTCTAGATGAGGGAACTGAGAACCAGAGGAGTTAAGGTCACAAGGTCACACAGAGCCAGGATTTGAATCTGGGTCCTCTGACCCCAAACCCAGTTCCCTTTTCATTGCCTATGCTGCCTCTTGTTGGCTTCACCCAGAGTTTGGGAGCAAGGAAGAAGCCCTGCCTCTGCACAGGCCTGGACTCCTTCAGAGGTCAAAGGGGCAAGTGCAGGTAGCCTGGATCTGGTGCCTTTTTGCTCCTTGCAGAGGGAAAGGAGCTTAGGGTCTGGCAGTGGCCCAAGCCTCTACGGGCCCTGCCCAGTGGCATGGCCACCTCCACACATGTCCACTTTTCACTGGAGAGCATCATACCATCTTGGTTCCCTCTCACCTGCTGAGCCTGCAACTTATAGTGGATTTGACTGGACCCGTCACTGGGCCCCGGCTCATTGCTGGGGAGGTGTTCCATCCAGGAGCGCAGGTTTTCGCCGTAATTCTTGAATTGCTGGTAGATGAGGCTGGCATCTTGCACTGCCTTCTCCCTGGGGAATGGCGATGGGAGAGCAGACAAGCTCAGCCCGGGGACCCAAGCCGGGCCACAGGGAAGGGCCAAAGGCTCAGGTTGCAAAGGACAGGGGTAAGAACCTTGACTGACTATCTAAGGAGAATGAATTAGGTGGTCTGTTACCTTCCTGCCCAAGGGATAAGCTAGGATCGTATTCCTGGAGCAGATGTTCTTGGGATCCACCACCTGCCCATCCCTTCCTGAGGCTGGGTTTAGGGAGTAGTACCATGGGTGCTGGGGGCAGCAGAAACTTCTAGTGTAATAGACCAGAAGACTAAGGCAGAAGAAGAAAGTTCTGAGTCAGGAGCACATCTCCAGCCAGCCCCCACTCCTCACCGAAGGTCCAGCTGGTCCGCTACGGCGTGGTAGCGGTCAGTGAGCCTCTGCACCTGACGCCTCTGTCGGGGCAGGTCTTGGCAGAATTCTCGGAAGTTGTTCTGCAGCGCCCCACAGCCGTGCTCGGTGGCCTTCAGCTCCCGGTGCAGGCCCAGTACGCAGGACTGTTGCTCCAGCAACTTCCGTCTTTGCCCCTAAAGGAAGAGGATCAAGGTCAGCCCCCACAGGCTTCTGCACTTCTCAGGCCCCGGCTCCCACTGGCCTCCTCTTTGCATCCACCCTTACATACCTTTCCCATCCACTCCCACATACCCAAGGCTGTGTTGCAGGCAGGCTGTGCTCACTCGTCTCACTTCTAAACACAACATTGCCCCCACCCTCACCTGCAGCTGACTGATTCGTTCCTGCAGTGCTCCAGGGCTGGCAGTGATGGGGGCCTCCTGGACCAGGTTGAACTCAAAGCCCTGAATCACCTTATCTGAAGCCTGGATCTGCTGTTCTAGAGCACGGGCTGCTTTTGCCCTGGAAGAGAAGCCCGGAGAGGATCAGAGATCCCGGCTGGCCTTGCCTCCCCCCCCAGTTCCCATTGTCCTGTAAGAACACTCACTTTTCCCCATAGAGACCGCAGAGGACTTGCACGTCATTGTATTTGTTCTTGACATTGTTAAGAGTCACTGGCAGGTGAAGCACAGTGGGTCCAGTTGGCTTAGAGGACAGGAAAGCCTCACATTCCTTCTGGGTGGCTTCTTTTTTGGCTTCCAGGCCCTGAAGCCTCCGAGCAGTGTTCTGCAGGCAGAGGGATGAACGTGCACCCAAGAATTTTTTTTTTTGTTTCTTTGGTGAGGCAATTGGGGTTAATTGACTTGCCCTGGGTCACACAGCTAGTAAGTATCAAGTGTCTAAGGCCGTTTTTGAACTCAGGTCTTCCTGACTCCAAGACCAGAGCTCTGTCGATTGTACCACCCAGCTGCCTCCTCAAGAATTCTTAAATCTGCAGTCTAACTATCATTTACTGCTTCACCATTCAGTGCCCCATTGGCACTGGGGCTCCGTTTCCCTTTACCCAGAATAATCACGCATTTGTGCAGGAAGCTGGTGGGAAGAGAGTAACCTATACTTTTAAGAGTGCTGGGGAAAGAGTTGCAGGCCTGAGCACCAATTAATTCCGCTCAGATTGTGCTGAAGAGCAAAACTTGTCAGATCTCGTTAGAAGTGTTGGGCTCAGTCCTGGGCATCGCTGCTCCAGAAGGACATTAATAAGCTAAAGAATGTCCAGAGTAGCAACTCTGCCTTACCTCCCTCTTTCTCAACAGAGGACCTCACCTCTTGCCTGTTTGAATCCTTTGAAACCCAATTCAAACACCAGTTTCTCTCCTCAAGTTTCCCTTCTCTAGTTGGAAATGGCTCCTTAGATTCCCTTCTCAAATTTGGTTGGCATTTCTCCTTTGCACTTAAATAACTCTATATAAATACTTATATTCAGGATGTCCCAAAGACCTTAGTGCAGTTTTCAGTTATTAAAACCTTGGGATATCCTTTTTAAGTCTAACTCTAATAAACATTTTCCTGGTAGCCTTCAAGTTCCATGATGATACCGCATTTGATTCTGCTGACCACCACCTCCCTCTTTCTACCTCTCTTGGCTTCCATGATATCAAAATTGGAACTAAGATGGGGCCACTGAGGCTTTGCTCCAGGTCCCAGTATGGTGGGAGGGGTGGTGTACTTTCCCACTACCCGCTCCTGGAGCAGCTGTCCAACCCACACAGTCCCTTACTTCCCCAGATGCCACCCCAGCGTCCTGGGGGACATCGTACCCCTCTTCTGGGGCTCCCCTTTCCACTGGGGTGGCCTGTCTTTCCTGTGCTATCTGCCCTGGAAACCCATGTCAGGTAGCACACCTGGAATCATCAGGGTACCAGCCACGGGGACTGGTGGCAAAAGGGTTATGTGCTTGGCTGCCTCCCTTCCCTACCAGTACCATCCCTTAGTCCCAACCTCTTTGCCCCACCAGTTTCCACTATATCCTCTGGCATCTTCCTCTGCTGCTAACAAACTCCTCTTCCATTCCCATTCCTTCCATCTTTTGCTGCTTCCTGAAATCTAGCTTTTCTTCAAAAATACCACTTTTCTTGGCACCCTCTCCAAGGCTGGCTTCTCCTCTCATATGCTGGGAAACAGCACAATACAATGGAAAGAGCACTGAGTCTGGAGTTAGAGGAGCCTGGTTCGAATCCTGCCTCTGGCACTTACTACCTATGCAACCCCTTGAGCAAGTCACTTAACTTCCCTCAGCCTCAGTTTCCTTATCTTTAAAATGAGGAGATTAATCCAGATAGCCTTTGAAATCCCTTCCAGCCCCAGATCTATGAGGCTCTATAAACCCAGTACATAGTAAGCAGTTAAGAAATGATTGTTTCCTTCCTTCCTTCCTTCCTTCCTTCCTTCCTTCCTTCCTTCCTTCCTTCCTTCCTTCCTTCCTCCCTCCCTTTCTTACTTCTTACCACTACTCCTTTGACACCAAGGCCAGGAGGTAGAACTGGTCTGTACCTTGCTCCCACCTCCACTTTCTTTTGTTTGTTTGTTTTGTTTTTTGGCTAGGCAATGGGGTTAAGTGACTTGCCCAGGGTCACACAGCTAATAAGTGTTATATGTCTGAAGCCAGATTTGAACTCAGGTCCTCCTGAATCCAGGGCTGGTGCTCTATCCACTGCGCCACCTAGCTGCCCCCCACCTCCACTTTCAGAACCTCCCTCTGCCACCATCATTTAGTAGGTATGTCTTTATTTGACAGTCACTCCATCCTGTCCAGATCCTCGTTACTATCTTCTATGGACTCCCAGGTCATTCTTCCTCCTCTCCAGTAGGTTTGCCATCTGACTCACAGTCTTTTCCAACCCAATCTCTATTCCTGTCAAACTCTATCGCCTCCTAGTTCTTCAATGCCATTAACTCCCATGATCTCTAGCTACATATTCTACTTCACTCATACACAGTAATGGTCCTGCCTTAGACACTCCATCCCCATCCTTGCTCTATTGAATTTCACCTAGGTATCAAAATTCCTAGCTATGGCCCTGCATGACACATCATTCTTTTCTTTTTTTTTTTGCTTAGGCAATTGGGGTTAAGTGACTTGGCCAGGGTCACACAGCTAGTAAGTGCCAAGTGTTTGGTCTGAGGCAGGATTTGAACTCAGGTCCTCCTGATTGCAGAGATTCCACTGCACCATCTAGGTGCCCTGACACATCACTCTTTTGAGTCTCCTCCTTCTCTGACAATCCCTTCCTTTGGCTCATCTTCCTCCTACCCCTAAATGTAGTCGTACCCCCTCAATCTTCTTCCTTTCTCATCCTGTGTTCTCTCTCACGATTGCTTGCTTCTGATTGCTTGCTTTCAGCTAACATCCCACACTAACAGCCCCACCCTACCCCCACCATAGGATTTCAGAACTTCAGCCTTCCTTCTAAACTCCAATCCCACTTTCCATCTCCCCTGGATGACCCTCTAACACAAGGGTTCTTAACCTAGGGTTAATATTTTAGTGGGTTTGTGGACTTGGATGAGAAAAAAAATTACACCATTATTTTCACTAATCTTTGGTTTCCTTTGCCATCCTATGTATTTTATGCATTTAAAAATGTTATCCCCAAAGGTTCACGCTGGGGTGCTGGTGGATGTTTAACAGTCAGTTCTCCCAAAACACATAACATACTTTTAAGTTTAATCTGCATTGTTATTAACATTTTCTCCATCACTTTCTTAAGTCTAGAAATCAACAAAATGATAAATCAAGCCCAAATTTGTAGCATTTACTGATTTCTAAGGTATAAATAAATGCTTATGCTGAAAATTTAACAATTGGATCTCTCAAGCTAGTTCTTGCTGGCTTCAGCACAAATTTGAGTCTGTGGTACCAAAAAATGTTAAGAACTGTTGCTCTGGCACTTCCTAAAACAAAACTTATCTTCTGCCATAAAACCAATTTTTCCTTGATATTTTCCCATTTCTGTTAACAACACCAGCCACACTGACCTGAAACCTGGTTGACTGATTCAATTCTTCCTTTCCTCCGTAGCTCCAAATCACACCAATTCTATCACTAAAATGTTTCTTGCATTAGCTCCTTCCCTCTGTTCCTTTCTCACTGTCACTACTGTAGCTCAGATCTTCCTTATGTCTCCTCTTGTAATAGCCAGAGGTCTCCCCAACTTCCACTCTATTCTATAAAGCATTGACAGAAAAACATTCCTCAGTTGTCATTTCCAACTTCCTTAGCCAGGCATTCAAAGCCTCAAACAACCTTTCTAGCCTTATCTTCCTTTATGTATATGTCTCCCATTCCCACTAAATGGACCACTTGCTTTTTTTTCAAACAGATTTACTTTATCTATCTATTTATTTATCTATTTATTTTTTTATCTATCTATCTATCTATCTATCTATCTTTCTATCTATCTATCTATCTATTTATTTATTTATTTGTTATTTTTTGGTTAGGCAATGGGGTTAAGTGACTTGCCCAGGGTCACACAGCTAGTGTTATGTGTCTGAGGCTGGATTTAAATTCAGGTCCTCCTGAATCCAGGGCCACTGCTAATTGCCCCAACCACTTGCTTTTTCTGCTCACACTGAACTCGTTTGCATTTTCTCACCTCTTGTCAATTGCCTGAAATCCCTCTCCACTATGGAAAGCCTATTCATTTTTCAAGGCTTCATCCAAATGCCCCCAACTCCATGAAGCCTTCTCTGATTTCCCCTAACCAGATATAATTTCTCCCTCTCTTCAACTCACATCACACTTTTTTGTACTTCATTTATGGCACATTTTGCCTCTTAATGTTGTTTGTATATGTGTCATCTCCTCTACTAGTCTGTCAGCTCTGTCAGAAGAAAGACTATGTCTTATTTATCCCCCCATGGAACCTAGCATAGTGCCTTTCACATAGCAAGCGTTCATATTGGTGGAGTGAATGGCTGATTTCCATCACCCCATCCCTCCAGGAGAGGACTCCCATAGCTTCACCCACCTCCTGGCTCCGGATACGAGTGTTGAGGTCATCCAGGGGGGCACTGCGGTTCACAGGGGCACGGACCCAGCCCAGAATCTCATGTTCTATCTGGTTTAGGTCATTATCCAGCTGAGTCAGCCGGGTCAGCAGCTTCTGTGCTTGGGGGTTGACTGGGGCAGTGCCTGAGGGGGCTAGTGGACAGAGTTAGGACAGAGGAGATTGGGTGAATGAGAGCTCGACTCCCAGAACCCCCTTCTCCCTACTCCCTCCCTCCACCCCACTCTCAAGAAGCAGTCACCACCATGTGCAGAGGCATGAACAGAACCCTATACTTGGCATAATAAAGCACGGAAGGGGTAAAGGAGAAAAGAGTCTCTGGGGAGATAGGAAGGTGGCCCCTTATCTGTGCGGATGTGACTGACACATTCCTAGCACAATAACCACCAGATTGTACAAATCAGTCCACGGGGAACAGAGAAGGGGGAATAGGGTAGACAAGGGAAGAATTCCTGGTGTAGCCACTGTGGAAATTTGTTTCGCCTGGCTACACACATTTGTTCGCACAGTTTTTCTTTTTTTTTTTTCCCAATGGGATGGGAGTGAGACAGTGAGGATAATATAGGAATGGGGCAGCAAAAGAAAGAAAAGGAAAAGAAAAGAGTGTCATTGAAGATTCTTTTTTTTTAAATTCAGAGGAGAGATTCATTAATTTTTAAATTTTGCTTTCTACAATTATTACTTTGTAATAAATGAACCAGAAACACATCTTTCTTATCTGTTTGCTGTTATAATGCATAGAATACAAATTTAAAAATATAATACAAATAAAATTCAGAGAAGAGAATAGGAAAAAGGCCAGAAAGAAGCACAAATAGGTCAGCTAAGAAAGCTACAGCAGAACTGACTGTAGACCTTTTTTTTTTAAAGCAAACTATACTTCATAGAGATCTAAAGTTTCACGTGCAAATCTCTTTTTCTATTCTATTACATATATAGAGTATGTCCATTTTTATTTGGTGATTGTTGAAGGCAGAATAAAAATAAATTGAAAAGAAAAAGCATGTAGGTGGTACAATGGGTAGTAAGTTTCAATATATTGGGAAATGTTTAACCACCAGCTCTCTGGGAAATTAATGCCACCACACACTTCGAAGTTTAATCTGCATTGTAACATTTTCTCCATTACTTTCCTAATTCTAGACAATCGGAAACAATAAATCAAGTCCTGATTTGTAGGGTTTGCCAATTTCTGAGGTGTAAATGCTCACAATGAAAATTTAACAATGGGCTCTCAAGCTCATGGGAGCTGCCTCTGGCATATCTCTCTGGTGGTTCACTTGACCTAGAGTCGGGAAGCTGTTTGTTGCTAAGTCATTTAGTCCTGTCTGACCCTTGGTGACCCCATGGACCACAGCATGCCAATGTTATCCATGGGATTTTCTTGGCAAAGATAAGGGAGTGGTTTGCCATTTCTGTCTCCAGTGAATTAAGGCAAGCAGAGATTAAGTGACTTGCCTAGGGTTCACACTAGTGAACTAGTTCATACTAGTAAGTATCTGAGGTCGGATTTGAACTCAGGTCTTTCTGACTCCACGCCTAGAACTCTATACACTGAGCCACCTAGGCAAACAGAGGTGAAGTGACTTACTTGCTCAAGGTCACACAGCTGGTAAATGCCTGAGGCCAGATTTGAACTCCAGGCCCGGGGCTTTATCCACTGAACCACTTAGCTGCCTATAGAGTCAGGAAGACCTGCATTCAAGTCCAGTCTCAGACACTTAGTAACTGTGACCTTGGGCAAATCACTTCACTTCTGTTTGTCTTACTTTCCTCATTTCTGAAAAAAAAAAAAGAAAAAGGAAAGGAAAAAAAATAGCATTCGGGGGGGCTGTGAAGATAAAATAAGATAATATTTGTAAAAAAATTAATTTGCAAATCTTAAAATGCTCTAGAAATGCTCTAGAATGAGATGACATTTGTAAAAAAAACTTCACAAATCTTAAAATGCTCTAGAAATCAAAAGGGTTGCTTGGAGTCAGGTGAGATGAATCTAAAGGAGGTAAAGATGCAGTTTAGTGGAGAATTGTGAGTAGTTTTCAGCTACACAGTCGAGGGTGTCATGGAAGCTGAGGGTTCTTGGCTAAGACAGAGCCTGAGTTCCTCTGCCAGAAGGTGGACCCGGTCCCCTATTGTCAATGCTCCCCTCATGTGCTACCTACCCCGCTGCAGTACCCACCCCCTTATGGCCGGCCTCCAGACCCTCTTGGTAGCACCACCCTCCCCTGTGCCCTCATACCCTGCCTGCTGGGCCGCACTAGCTCACTGGTACTGGCCATCAGACCGCGCTGGAGGTCCTTACACTGCTGCTTCAGTGCCTGCAGCTCTGATTCTAGCCTGGGAAGGGAAGGTAGATGAGAAGACAACTCCCTCTTTCCTATCCTTTCTTCCCTCCTTCCTCAGAGCCCTTGATGGGGCTGGCAGGGGCCCCCTCTCACTCCCCAGTGCTGATAAAACTGTATCCTGACCCAGGCAAACCCGAAGGACGGTGAAGAGAACTAGGGGAGTGTACTTGGGTAGACGCACCTTCTGAGACCCACGGAGCACCTGGCTTGAGCCCAGTTTTGTGGGTCTGGAAAATGGTGCACCCACCTAGCTGGCCAAAGGGAAGGGGCAGGGGGTGGGGAACAATTGGAGGTGAGGAGAGATTATTGCACATATGCCATAGGACTCAGCGTTGAGGGGCAGGAGAGGAAATGTCAAAGGGAGGGGTCAGGGAGGTTAGGAGATCAGAATCTGCATGTCCCAAGAAGCCACCTTTCTGGATCACCACCATACCTGCCGACCCTAGCCACGCCATCCTGGTCGGGTGGGGGGATGCAGAAGCAGGCAGCTGGGACTCTCTTGGACTCCCCGGCAGGGCCCTCCACCACCCAGGTGTGGGGGTCCTGGTTATCCTTCAGCGTGTACTTCTCTCCCCTAAATAGTTGTACCTAAATGGGGAAGACATATTTTTGTTTGTTTTGGCTTTTTTTAAAGCAGGAAATCTGGAGCTCAGCTTCCTCAAACATGATGCTACAGCTGCTATCTCCGCGTCTCTGTACCGGCTGTACCACACACCTGGGATGCTCTGCCCTGTCGCCTTTTCCCTTTTTTTTCCCTGTTGAGACTCAGCTCAGATCCCACTCTGTGTAGAAGACCTTTCCTGGTCCTCTTTGCTGCTGACGCCTCTGACCGTTTTCCTCTCCTCTGATTACAATTTGTATAGACCTCATTATTTACATGCTGTCAGCCCCATGAATGAGATCCTTGAAGGTTTTTTGCCTTTCTTTGTATTCCCAGCACTTAGCACAGTGCCTGGCATATAGTGGGGGTTTCATAAATACTTGATTGACTGACTGATTGACCGAGGCTGTCGCACAGCACTAGGAGAACTCGGGGCCTGCTCTAAGTGGGAAGGGAGGCCTGATGGAGGCTTCTATGGATCTAGCCTGACAAAGTCAAGTAGCAGGCTGCAGGCAGGCGCCTTTCAACATGGTGCTTTCCTAAGGCTTCCTAGAAGCCCTGGGCCAGCTCCTTGTAGGGGACCCTGTTCTCCAGATGTGAGTAAGGGGTACTGAGGGTCCTAGGCACTCTTGGGTCTTCTATACGAAGCTTTCCTCAATGCCTCTTAATTCTAGTGCCTTTCCTCTGTTGATTATTATTAATAAATATTATTCATTATTTATTAATCATCACAAATAATTAATTATTGTAAACAACCAATTATTATTATTACAAATCATTAATTATTGTAAACAACCTATTATTAATTATTACAAATAATTAACCATTAATTATTGTAAATAATCTATTATTAATTATTACACATAACTAATGATTAATTATTGTAAACAATCAATTATTAATTATTACAAATAATTAATTGTTGTTAATAACCTATTATTAATTATTGCAAATAATTAATTATTGTAAATAATCTATTATTAATTATTACACATAATTAATTATTAACAAACATTAATAAATATTAATGAAGTAATTATTATTATTATTATTATTTTCTATTTCTAGACTGTGCCTATTCATTTGCATGTTGTCTTCCCTATTGGACTATGAGCTCCTTGGGAGCAGGGATTATCTTTTGCCTTCCTAGTGTTTTACACGGTGCCCGGCACACAGTAGGCACTTATTGACTGACTGACTGACTGACTGACAGGGTGTAGAGCCAGGGATGCCAGCCACATCGCCCTTACATCGCCAGAGTCCCAGTCGCAGATGCTGTCCACCTGGATGGGCTTCACAAGATGGGTCCTTCGAAGAGGGAGGGGGGCAATCTCCTGGCCTTGTTTCTTCAGGTCCTTGATGGTCTTCTCCAATGTATTCAGCTGCCTTTCTTCAGCCTGTGGGAGCAGGGAAGGGAAAGAAAAGCTGAAGCCACCAGGACGGGCCCGGGAAGACTTGGACCAGAAAAACTTAGAATTTGGAGTTGGGCCTTCCTAGGACCTCCTCCCCACATCCCTCAAAGAATGCCAACGACTATTCCTCGCAGATTGCCGTCTTTCTCCATTGTCTTTGCCAATCCATCATCTGTGTTACCGTGGGTGCTTTCCAAGGGTCTGCCTCTTGTCTCTACAATCTCTCATTCAATGCCCTCATCAGCTCCTGTGGGGGTCCTATTCCCCTTACTACGCTGATAACTCGCAGCCTCTCTCCTGAGCACCAGCCCCATACCACAAACTACTCACGGGATATCTCTACCTGCTATACACCTGCCAAAGTGATTTTCCGAACACTCAAGTTTGACCATGTTACCCTCTGTTTTTTTCCCCTTCCCTCTCCAATAAACACTAGTGGCTCTCTATTACCACTAGGACCAAGTATAAAATCCTATGTTTGGTATTTATATCTTTTCACAACCAGGCCCTGTTCTTGCCTTTCAAGTCTTTTTATACATTACTCCCCTCTGCACAGGGGGCAGCTAGGTGGCACAGTGGATGGAACACTAGGCCTGGAATCAGGAAGACCTGAGTTCAAATCAGATTTCCAACACTTACTAGCTGTGCAACCCTGGGCAAGTCACTTAACCCTGTTTGCCTCAGTTTCCTCATCTGTAAAATGAGCTGGGGAAGGAAATGGCAAACCACTCCAGTATCTTTGCCAAGAAAACCCCAAATGGGGTCACAAAAAGTCAAACACAACTGAAAGCAACTGAACACCAACAACAACCACAGCCCTCCACACGCTCCATGATCCAAAAGAGCCTCCTTGCTCTTCCCCACCTCCCATCTCCGTGCCTTTGTATCAGCTGTATCTCATGCCTGGCATGCATTCCCTCTTGGAATCCATGGCTTCCTTTAAGTCAGCACAAATGACACCTTCCACGTGAAGCCTTTCCTGATCCCTCCTCACTCTCCCTCCACATTTGGTATATATTGTGGATCTGTTGGCTTCCTCTTTAGAATGTAAGCTTTTTGAGGGCTGGGACTATCTCCCTTCAGTCTTTATATCTCCAGTTCCTTGCACAGTGTCTTTCACAGAATAAATGCTTCATAAATGCATAATGATGGATTACAGATCCTGCCCCTCCCCCAGAGCCTCACTGCCACTCTAACCTCAGTGTGGTCAGCTAGGTCAGTCATGGTGCATTTTTCCAGTAGCTGGGACCTAGTGGGAGGGGTGTGTGGGGGGGGGGTATGGGTGTGTATGTGTATATATTTGTGTTTGTATGTATGTGGGTGTGAGGTATGTATGTGTGTGTGTGTGTGTATGTGGGTATGGGTGTGTATGTATATGTATATGGGTAGGTATGTGTGGGTATGGGTGTGTATGTGTGTGGGCATGGGTGTGTATGTGGGGGTGTATGTGTGTGGGGGTATGGGTGTGTATGGGGTATGTATGTGTGTGTGTATATATGTGTGTGGTTATATATGTGTGGGTGTGGGTATGGGTGTGTATGTACATGTGGAAGGAGAGTATGTATATGTGGGCATGGGTGTATATGTGTGTGTGGAGGTGTATGTATGAGTATGTGTGGGGTGTATGTATGCATGCATTGGGCAGAATAGAGTGACAGATGATGGTACAACATTGATATTTGGGAGGGCGATTTCATTTACCCTATATGACTGTTAGGCAAAGTAGTCAATTCTGACCTTGAATAAACCCTTTTCCCTCTTTGGGCCTTACCTTTCTCTCATATAAAATAAGGGGGGTTGGTTAGTTTATCTCTGGGGTCCATGTCATCTCTGACACCCTCTGTGTGACTCTCTAGCCACACACTGGTGAGCTGGTATATAGGTGAGGACAGGGTGGTTTTCTGTCTCTGTGTCCCGAGGGGTGTGGCTGGGGACTGTCTTACCTCCAATTGCCGAAGCAGGTCTGACGATGCTCCCGGGGGACCTCCCTGGGTGGCGTGGTACTTAGTGTTCAGGTCTGAGCTCAGTTTCTTCAGCTTCTGGTTGACAACATCCAAGTCATCTTGAAACTGTGGGTTGCCCAGAAGGCTGTCAACTCCCAGGGTCTTTGGGGTCCTTCCCAACACCACCCACAAAGGCCTATAACCTCTCTGGAGGGCTTAAGACCAGCCAGGGCTGGCAGCAACAGACAATTAGCCCCCCACCAAAAAAAAGTATATTTCTCTTCCTATTCTATCTAGCTTACAAAAATATGTCCCCAAACCTCAATTCATGGGAACCCTCAAAAATGTGTTCCATTTAATTAAATGTTCTTGAGTAACTGAGAGTCAACCAAAAGTTGCTTTGTGTTTCAACCCCACTGAGAACCTTTCTAAAGGACGTGAGGAATAAAATAGGAACTCTCAAAATGAAAGAAACAAAACTTAAAAAAAAATGCATGACAGCATCTTTGCTGTAAACTTCATTTATATCAGGAGAGGATTGGTAACAGGCCACTAGAAGCAGCTGGTTAGTTCAGTGAATAGAGCACCAGGCCTGGAATCAGGATGATCTGAGTTCAAATTCAGCCCCAGACACTAGTCGTGTGACCCTAGGCAAATCACTTAACCTCTATTTGCTTCAGTTTCCTTAACTGTAAAATGGGGATTGTAATAGCACCTACCTCCTAGGGTTGCTGGAAGAATCAAGTGTGATAATGTTTGCTAAGCACTCAGAACGCTGCCTGGTACACAGTAGGCATTTAATAGATGCTTGTTTCCCCCCACCCCCTCCCCCACCCCCAACCCCACCTATACAACCTCTAAGGTCACAGATGTAATGTTCTATGGTTCTAGTTAATGAATGAAATCCGCTGACTCTCCCTAATGACTCAGGGTCACCACTCTGATGATCTTGGTCACAAGCCTCTGAATTGCATCTACATGAACCCCCAGCAGGACAGACTCTGGAAGGATCTTTGTTTTGGGGCAGGCTGAATCGGAACAGCATCCACACCTGTGCTGTCATCCTTATTGGGAACTTGCAGTGTGGAGGCTACTTCCATTCCTGCAGACTGGCTACTCTGTTTGGGGCCCAGAGAGGTTGGCTGTCTTGCCAATGACACGATCAATATTTGTCAGAAAAAAGAATTGAATGAAGGACTTTCTGATTGTCAAGGTCAGCCCTTTATCCACTACAATATCTCCCTGGAAACGTGCTTTTAAAAAAATCAATGACCACCCTCCCTCATCTTGTTTTCTTGTGACTTCTGCCACTCTCAGAGGGGAGGGCAGCAAGCAAAGAAATGTGGTAACTGAGGGCCCTGCTCAGATGACTTCTCCTTAATTGTGCTTTTATTTTTACTTCATGTTATCTAATTTTTGACTTGGAATTTTTTTTTCACTTGAGCAATTTTTAAATTCCATGGTCCTCATGTTCACATTAAATTCATTTTATTAACAAGTGAAATTTTTAAAAAATTTCTAATTATGGGGGGCAGTTAGGTGGCACAGTGGATGGAGCACCGGCCCTGGAGTCAGGAGGACCTGAGTTCAAATCCGGTCTCAAACACATAACACTCACTAGCTGCGTGACTCTGGGCAAGTCACTTAACCCCAATTGCCTCACCAAAAAAAAAAAAATTTCCAATTGTTGGTTTGTTTTTTTTTCCAGTGATCAAATGTGTTCTCTCTTTGCTACCCTTCCAAAGCCAAGCTGGGGTCCTTACCCTGCGGTAGTCTTCCACGCATTGCAGCTGGTTCTCCTGACAGATGCATAGGTTCAAGAAGTTCTGCCATTCAGTCTTCAGGGCCTCCTGGTGAGCCTGGGGACACACACTGAACCCTTAGAACCCCGTGGCTACACTGCCACTCTGACTCTGCCTCCCTTTAAAACAGGAGTTCTTTTTTAACTTTTTAAAACAGCTTTTTTTTTCTAATTACATGTAAAGACAAATTTAAACATTCATTTAAAAATTTTGAGTTCCAAATATTCTCCCTTCCTCCTTCCCTAAGATAATAAGCAATTTGATAAAGTTATATACGTACAATCATGTAAAACATATTTCCATATTAGTTATGTTGTAAAAGAAGAAACAGACTAAAAGAAAAAAAAGTGAAAATAGTATGTGAAGCAGGGCTTCTTAACCTTTTCTTGCTTTGTTGATATCATGAACCCTCTTGGCAGTCTGGTGCCAAACTTTCAGACCCCTTTTCAGAAGCGGGTCTAAGTAATCGAAGGAAAAGGTAAATTTCATAGAGGTGAGTGAAAATAAAGATGCGATATTTTCTGAACTCTGTCCATAGGACCTCAGGAGAACCCCTAGATCTTATGGTGTCCCTTTTCTATTTCCGCCTTTGTCTATCTGCCTTTTCTACACACTTACCAAATATAGCCCAAAATCTTTCAGCTGGAATTCAAGATCCCTTACGATGTAGCCCCAATCTACCCTTGCAGTATTATATTGTAACATTCCCCTTCATTTCCCTCTGCTCTAGCTAAGAGTACCATGGATTCTTCATGCCCTACTGAAATGCATCCCATGCTTTCCTTCCTATATGTTTTTGCTTGTGCTGTTCTACATTTTTGGAATACTCTTCCTCTCCATCCCCATCCCTTGATACCTTACTCTATCTTTCAACGTCCAGATGGGTGGAAGGTGCGAAGAGGTGAATTTGGGCTTGACATCAAGACAAACTTCCTAAGCATTAGAGCTATGGGCTGCCTCAAGAGGTGGTAGGGTCCCCTTCCCTGGAGGTCTTTGCACAGAGGTCCATGACCACTTTGCAGGTGTGTTATAATGGGGCTTCCTTTGTGTATGGATAGGACCAGATGTCTACTGAGGTCCCTTCTCACCCTCACATTCTGTGATTCTGTGTTGGATCAAAGGCCACCTCCATGAAGGCGTCTCCAAACCCTCCAGCTTGCAGCCTCCAGCTGCAAGGAATTTCTGCTTAAGTCCTCACATAGAACTCTACACCTGTGTAGCTTTCTTCACTTGAGGCTTCAGGGTGGGATGGAAATCACCAGAGTATTCTGATCCAAAGACCCTTGGGGAATTGTGGCTGCTCTGGAAAAATATGATCCCCCTTCCCCTTCAGGGGCACGTAGGGGGCACAGTGGATAGAGCACTAGGCTTGGGGTCAGGAGGACTTGAATTCAAATCTGGCCTCAGACCCTAGCTGTGTGACCCTGGGCAAGTCACTTATCCCTGTTTGCCTCAGTTTCCTCTCTGTAAAATGAGCTGGAGAAGGAAATGTCAAATCACTTCAGAATCTTTGCCAAGAAGACCCCAAATGGGGTCGTGAAGAGTCAGACACAACCAAATCAATTGAATCACAACAATAACAACCCCTTTCATGCTGATGGATGGATGCTTACAGGAGAGAGGGGAAGTGGGAAATCATGATGAAGTGTGGGCAAGGGCCTGAGCGATCACAGCCACAGGGGTGTGTGGAGACACTGTTTCTACACCTGAGCGGTTTCTACCGGGATGACATGCCTTCCACGCCCAAGTGACTTCAACTCACAGTCTCAGCCTCTGATGCCCCTAGAGTCACACTGCCGGTAGTGCTTGGGTCAGAACACCCTGATGATCCCCATCTTATCCTGCAGACATCCTTCTCATCTCTACTCCTACTCTTTGGGTAAAGGGCCTACAAAAATGCAGCCATCATGTTCTTTCTATTTTCTTAATACTTATTTATGTTCACATTTGCAGGGCGGTTAGATGATGCCATAGTGCACAGAGTGCCAGGCCTAGGGTCAGACTCATCTTCCCGAGTTCAAGTCTGGCCTCAGATATTCATCCTACTCGTGTGACCCTGTTTGCCTCAGTTCCCTCATCTGTAAAGTAAGCTGGAGAAGGAAATGGCAAATCCCACTAGCATCTTTGCCAAGAAAACCCCAGATGGGGTCAGGAAGAGTTGGACGTGACTGAAAAATGGCTGAACGGTAACGATATTCACATTTTTTTCTTCCAGGCTAGATTGTTGTTTCCCTCTTTAGACTGTGAGTTCCTTCATGGCAAGGGCTGTTTTGCCTTTCAAATATCCTCACAAATATACACATATATTATATATGTATTTGTGTGTGTGTATGCTTGTGTATGTGTATATATAATGTATATATATACACACATATACATACACAGACAAAAATACGCACACACACAAATATTCCCACTACTTAACCATGCACATTGTAAGGGCTTAATAAATTGATTTATTGATTATTTAATTGATAAATTTATTTATAACTCAATTGATTATTTATTTAATCCCATTGATTGATTGGTCGATTTTAAACTTAAGGTCAGAGACCTAGTTTTATTTTCTCTTTGTGTCTCCTAACACAGCACTTTGCACATAGTAGGCACCTATTAAATGCCTGTTGAATTTCCCTGTCCCACTTTATCTGTTGGTCTCTGTCTCTCATTCACTTGTTCATCCATCTATCCATTCCTCCAACTTCTCCTTCTAAGATGGGGCTCTTCCTGGGCCTCTCTGGGGAGCATCGGTGAGTCTCCCTAGCACTAAGCCCACATCCCGAGGACCCCACTGGGAACTTGGAGATGAAGAGGTAAGGGATGGGAGGCGGGTAGCCTGTCCTTGGGGTCCATGAGATGTGCTTCCTACCTGGATGGGTCCCACAGCTGGGTGCTTGAGCTCCACCATGCGCTCCCCATCATCCTCCAGCTGGTTTATACACTGCTCCTGGATCAACAGCTCCTGGGTCTTGAAGTGCTGGCAGGCAGACAAGGGTAGATGAGGGGAAAGGTGGAGGGAGAGTCACCCCTCAAGGTCAGGGGGAGTGGAACACTGCCCTAGAACCCTGTGTCCTCTACCTATCTCTGTCTCTACCTACATCCTCCAACTTTCCCAAATCCAGTAATGAGCAGGGAAGTCCCTGACCTATAATCATAAGTAGGGTGGGGTGACTGGAGTGGGTGGGGGTCCTAGAGCCCTAAAATCTGAGGGATGCTACAAATATTTTTGGTCCTTTCAGCAGCATAGAAACAGCTGATCTGAGCATAGTAAGCTTCCTGAGGACAGGGATTGCTTTGTTTTTGTATGCCCAACACCTAAGATAGTGCTTGGCACCTAGTAGGTGATTAATAAATATACTAAGATTGCTCAATAGAACTGAATAGGACTGAATTACCTACTTAGAATGGAAAACTACCAGACGGCAATTTCCTCTTCTAAGGCTCCTCTTCCCTAGCCCATCCCCAATCTCCCACCCTGCCAAGGAGGCCACTACTTCATGGTATCCTGGGTACTTGAAGGTACATGACGTCCTTGGGGATATCTCTCCCTCTACCCCCAAATGAATTGAGATCCCCTTTGGTGTGGCTTATCCCAAGCAAGTTTGGTGAAAAATAAATCCCCAGGCGTAAAAATTGCTAGTTGTGGCTTGCGCCTGACCTCGTACTCCTGGCGCACCCCAACGGGATCCACCATGTTGTCACTCCAGTCCTGCTGGAGGATGCGACGCTGCTGTTCAGCCAGGGTGTTGAGCTGCCGGGTACAGTTCTGCAGGTGGGTGTAGAGGCTGCCCAGGCTCTGCCCACGCCATGTGGCTGCCTTCTGTGCTCAGGAATAAAGAAGACCCCGTCGAAGACGAAAAATGGAGATTCGAATAAATGGACATGTAGAGAGACAGAAACACTTAAAAAACATTGTCAGGCTTGGGGACCGCATTGATCTATTACCCCACAATCCTATTTTGATTACAGGTATACCTCTGCCCTCTACTCTCTACTGCCAGCTGCCTGTTGTCCCACCCAGCTCAGCCCCTTGTCTCTATCACTGATCTCAAGAGTGATCCCTGTGGCAGTCAGGTGGAGTAGTAGATGGAGCAGCCGCCCTGGCGTCAGGAGGACCTGAGTTCAAATCCGGCCTCAGACACATAATACTTCCTAGCTGTGTGACTCTGGGCAAGTCACTTACCCCAATTGCCTCACTAAAAAAAAAAAGTGATCCCAGCCACCAGAGCTGTCCCTTCCATCCCCAGTAGCCCTCGCTCTGTTCCTCCACCAGACAGTGTCCCTGTCTCACCAGCAGGTCTCGATACTGGTTCTTGATGGCTGCAGCATCCTAAGGTTAGCAGGGTGAAGAAAGAGATAAAAAGGAAATTACTGAGATGCTCGCCCTGGGGCGGTGGGGATAGGGAGCAGGAGTTTCATCTGTTTGGCGTCTCTCAGTGCCCTGATCTATCTGAAAAGTGTTCCCCAACCTAGGATCTCCTGTTCTTACCCACATGGAACATCTCAAGAAGATGCCTCCCAGTTTTCTAGAACTTTACCATGTGAAATCTCAAAGATGCCTGGTGGGGGTGGCTAGGTGGCACAGTGGACAGAGCACTGGACCCGGAGTCAGGAGGACCTGAGCTCCAATCTGGCCTCATACACTTGACACTTACTAGCTGTGTGACCCTGGGCAAGTCACTTAACCTCAATTACCTTAAAAAAAAAAAGATGCCTGATATCCAGAGGATGCAGAGCCTAAAGGGACTTAAAGGCCATCAGCTTCAACCCCCTCATTTTACAGATGAGGGAACTAAAGCACATAGAGGTGAAGTGACTTGCCAGGGGTCACACAGCTCATAATTACTTGAGATGGGATGTGAACCCATGGTCCTTGTTCCCCATTTGCTACACCGTGCTGCTTCAGGTCATCTCTGAGTAGAGGGAGGAAGGGACCAGGCTTTCAGATGTCACGGAATGCCTCAGTTAAGCTAGGTTCCCATCCCGGGCAGGGCAGGTGAATGACGGGTGCATGGGGAGATGGAGTGAGACCCTGAAAGCTGCACCAGACTGTTGGAAGGAGCGTTCTGGGAAGACGGGCTCACCCACCGGGCCGCTGAAACAGCGAAGCTGCTGTCCATAAGCTTCGATCTCCCTTTGCAGGATGTTGTGCTCGGCAATTTGCTGCTCCAGTTCCGGCATGCCTGGGCCATATTGCCCCTCACAGATCTGTTTCTAGAGACAGAAGCAGGGGCCAGCATTCAGACGGGGCCCACCCAGGGAAGAGGTGGCTGTCAGGTCTCTCCTAGCCAGGGCTCCCTAGCTCCTCTCTCCCTCCTAGGGGTGGAAGGGCTCTTGGATTGTACATACTCAGTGCATTTGAAATTCACATCTCTCCTCTCTTTGATTTCCATTACCATCACTCACTTGAGGATGATAAAAGGAAAATGGCTAGACCTGAACAGTGTGGCTATCCCAACTATCTACAATGCTGCAGGAAGAAAAAAAAACAATCTGGCAACAATGAGTCTTGGAGAAAAAGCTAGCTGCATTTGGTCATTGGGAAGATGGAGGCCAGCCTGGGTAAGCCAGGTTGTCATCTACAGTAGGGCTGCCTCCCATCTCAGCCAAAGGCACTAGTCTTCTCCCCGTCAACCAGGCATGAAGGCTTGGATTGTCGGCCAAGAGCTGGAAGGGATCTAGAGATGATCTAGTCCATTTTATAGATGTGGAAACTGACGCCCAGAGGAGTTAAATGACCTAATCCCATAAATAGGAGGTAGTGGAGCCAGGATTTAAATCCAAACCTTTTGACTCATCTTTGACCATCTTTTTCTTCACCCACATCCAATGAGTCACCAGCTCCCATAAAATGAGATAATATTTGTCAAGTGCTTAGCTGAACCTCCATAAAAATGGAAATAATGATATTTGTACTTCCTACCTCAAGGGGCTAATGTGGAGAAGTGTTTTGTAAACCTTAAAATGCTATTTAAATTGTGAGTTATTATTATAGTGGTAGTAGTAGTATTACAGATTGCTGGGGCCTGGAAAAGTGGAACCCAATCAACTGATGTTTACCCAGTTCCATGGCTAGCAAATTTATAGCTCCCACTCCCCTAGGTCCTTTCTCCTAAGCCAAGGACTTCCTTCCCCTGCTATGTCTCATGGGATCATAGGAGCATAGATTTAGGGCTGGAAGGGGCATTAGAGGCCTATGAGTCCAAATCCTTCATTTTACAGGTGAGGAAGTAGAGGCACAGAAAGGTTAAGTCATTAGCCACAACTTGTACATGTCTAAGGCAGGGTTTGAACTTGTTTTCCTGATTCCAAGTCCATTATACCATTTAAATTTCCTGTATTTCCTGTATTCTTATCTCAATTCATCTCAACCTGACTTACCTTTGATCCCTTTCCTTGTCTGTCCTACTTTTTGGACACTCTTTCCTTGTGCTCACAGAAATCTGGCTCTCGGGAACCCAGTGCATCCTTGGTCACCTTCTCCGGGGCTAACTTTTTGCTAGACACAAAATGGGCCAGGAGAAGGAGTTGGCATTCCCTACTGTCAATTCCAGATTCTCTCTCTGCCCCATCCCTCTGCAGATACTTCTAACGGTTCACTTCATCCATCTATATCATCCAGGCCAAGTCTTAGCGGCTACGATCCACCAGCTTCTAGGTCACTACACTCTCCTTTTTCAATGAGTTCAGTCTTTCTCTCCACCCCAATTCCTCCCCTCATGCTTGAAGACTTCAATATACATGCACCTTGTCTTCCCAGTTCATCAATCCTCTTGACTTCTATCATCAGATCTTCACTGCCTCTCATTCACCCACAAGGACAATTATACCATAGATCTCACCATTACTTGTAACTATGTTCCCTCCATGATTCTGAACTCTGAAATTCCTTTTTCTCCTTATACTCTATGGACCTTCCATTTCTCCCCTCTGCCTCGTGCCTCCTAACCCTATTCTTTGACCTCACTCTAACCCTCTATTCTTCCAGTTCTCCCAATTTAGGGGTCCAGCCTCTTTTTCCTCTCTTAATAGCACTGACCCTTTTGTCAAACAATTCAACACATAGCAACTTCTAAGTCATTCACAAGTAAATGATAATTAATCAGATGAGATTCCCCAAGCAACATTAGATTGCATGCTCCTTAAGGGCAGGGGCTGTCTTTTGATTCTTTTTGTACCCACAGTGCCTGGTGGGTAATGCACACTTAATAACTATTTATTGACTGTATTGACTGACCACAGAGTGCGAATGAATGTAGTTATTATTGTTTGTCCTTCATTCTGGAAGAGGACCGTGGCATCAGGAAGGTGATGCCATCACTTGCAAGTGAATTAGATTTAAGGGAGGGAGGGCTGTGTAGAGTCACCAGCCTCAGTTTCTCCCCTGGAGCCATCTGGGTCCAGTGGCAAGATATAAATGAGGACGACTGGAGATGGCCCCTGTGAGTGAAGAAAAACCTTGGGGATTACCCAAAATTGGGGTTAGAGGGGAGGAAAAGGAGCCAGCAGAGGAAATCTAGAAAGAAGGGTCAGAGGAATAAGAGAAGAATTAAAATAGTTGAGTATTACAAGAACTATGAAGGAGTTAATAGAACAATCAATTAAACTGCAAATTTGAGCAAGACCTATATACAAGCATTTATTGCATTTATTAGGGGCAGCACTATATAGTGGTTGAGCACCGGACTTGGAGTCAGGAAAAGCTGGGTTCTAATCCTATGTTTAAACACTTACTAGCAGCATGACTCTGGACAAGTTACTTAACTGCTCCGTGCCTCAGTTTCCTCATTTGTAAAATGGGGGTTGAGCTCAATGCGCTCTAAGGCCCCTTCTAGCTGCAGATTTATGATCCTATCACCTAAAGAGTGAATCTTTCCACGTCTCACTGCAGCCCATTGCCCATTTACTTCATCTACTACACCCAAGGAGTTCTGGAGTCAGTTCCATCCAATTCCAAGAGCCAATTGCTAAATTTTCAGTGTGAGCATTTATACCTTGGAAATTGGCAAACACTACAAATCAGATCTTGATTTATCGTTTTGTTAATTGTCTAGACCTGGGGTGGGGAACCTGAGGCCTTGAGGTCACATATGGCCCTCTAGGTCCTCCAGTGTGGCTCTTTACTTAAATCCAAGTTTGGATTGGCCACACTGGAGGACCTAGAGGGCCATATGTGGCCTCAAGATCACAGGTTCCCCACCCCTGGTCTAAACTAAGAAAGATGGTACACGAAACTCGTAGACGGCGAGGTGGCTCAGTGGATAGAGGACTGGACCTGGAGCCAGGAAGACCTGAGTTCAAATCTGCACTTAGACACTTACTAGCTGTGTGAACCTAGGCCAATTGCTTAACCCTGTTTGCCTTAATCCACTGGAGAAGGAAACCCCAAAACACTCTAGTATCTTTGCCAAGAAAACCCTATGGCCAGTATTGGCATGCTATGGTCCATGGGGTCGTGAAGAGTTGGATGTGACTGAACACCAACATGAAACTGCAGATTTCAAATTTCTATAGCTTGTAGAATTTGCTTTTCTTTATAAATGTATAATAAATTCAGCCTTCAGGGCTGCCCTGCTTGTCTGTGCTTCTTTCTGCCTTTCCTTCTGTTCTCTTCTTTGCATTTAAAAAAAAAAAGATTCCTTCCTTCACCTTCTCTCCTCTCTTCTCCTCCTCTCTTCTCCTGTCTTGTCCTTCTGTCCTCCCCTCTTTTCCTCTCCCTTCCCCTCTCTTTCCCTCTCTTCTCCTCTCTCTCACTTATTTAAAACTTAAACACAAAATGAGAAAAGAAAAAAAAACATTGCCAGGTATACAGCATAAGAGAGGATTCAATATAAAACAATAAATTTACATTTCAAGAAAGCATATAATAAATACTGCACATTGTTTTCAAAGCTGCCCAGCTTTGCTTTCTTGTAGGTTTTCTTTTGTTCTCTGCTGTGTTTTTTTAAATCTATTTATTTATCTCCTCTCCTCTTCTTCTCCATCCCCTACACATATTTCCCCTTAATTTCTTACTTTCCTGTCCCTCCTCTGGAAAAATGAAAGAAAAACAAAGTTCTTTTCCACAAATATGCATAGTATTTCTGCAAGATAAATTCTCACATCAGCGCCATCCTCACAAGCCATTCGTTTCTCTATTCATGTGAGTCCAGCTGTAGATCCGCCCCCACTGTCGTGAAACTATAATCTCCGAGGTTGGCAACAATCTTTTAACTGCTAAACCTGACTGCCTTTTCTCACCCTCATGCTTCTTGACCTCTATTAGTACGGCTGTGTCTCCCCAGGCTCTGACCTAAACCATCTTTTCTTTTCTCCATGATCACACCTGCTCCTCTGGGTTTAATTAATGAATTATTATGCCAGTGACTCCCAAATCTATATATCCAGCCCTAATTTCTCTCCTTAACTCCAGTTTTGTACTACCAATTTACCAGATGGACACCTTTGGACATTTCATTGTTGTTGAGATGTTTCAGTTGTGTCCGATTCTTTGTGACCAGGGGTGAATTAAGGAAGACTTCACAGAGGAGGTGGCCTTTTTTGTTTAGTTGTTTCAGTAGTGACCCTCTCTGTGGCCTCATTTGGGGTTTTCTTGGCAAAGGTTTTGGAGTGATTTGCCATTTCCTTCTCCAGCTTATTTTACAGGTGAGGAAACGGAGGCAAACAGGGATAAATGACTTACCCAAGATCACACAGCTAGTAAGTATCTGAGGTCAGATTTGAACTCAGGATCATAAGTCTTCCTGACTCCAAGCCCAGTACTCTATCCACTTTGCCACCTAGCTGCCCAGGATATTCCATATTCAAAATCAGTATATCCATTATCAAACTTTTTCTTCAGCTGTCTCTATTTCTGCTGATGTCACCAATACCCAACTCATAAACTTGGAGTTATCCTTCACCTCTCCTTCTCCTCTCTCCCCTATATCTGGTAAGTTACAAAGTCCTGTCTATTCTATTGTATGTTTACCTTTCTTTCCTTTCCTATGGCCCCATTCTAATTCAAGCCCTTATAATTCAAATCTGGACTGTTGTGATACCCTCCTAATCACTCATCCTAACTCTTTCTCCTCTTTCCAATCCATTGTCCACACGACTGCCAAACTGATCTTATGAAAGCATATATCTGACCACATCACTCTTCTGCTAGAAAAAAAAAAGTTTAACTGTCCATCCCCATTAGGATAAAATATAACCTTCTCTGCCCTTCATTTCTGCCCTACCTTCTACCCAGCCTTCTACAGTCTGGCTCCTACCTACATTTAAAAAAATGTATCTAAATTATTATTTTATTTCTATTATAATAATATAAAATATCATATATAAATAATACAAAAATATAAAATAATATTATTTTATTATTAAATCATTATTATTAAAATGTATTTTAAAAGAAAATATTTTTAAAATACATTTAAAGTTTTTTGTTGTTATTTTGAACTTCATGAACACTAAATATATCAGCATGTACATATACAAAGAATAGAAAAAGAGGATTGTACATAAAACTGTGAGTCTCCATTATATACAGCTTATGTATGCATTTAGCATGTTAGTTCTAAAACTATCTTGTTTATCTGTGTTTCCTTTAAACATCTTCCTGGCTTATGTGAACTGATGCAAAGTGAAGTGAGCAGAACCAGTGGAACATTGTACATAGTAATAGCAATATTGTATGATGATCAACTATGAATGAGTTAGTTTTCCTCAGCAATACAAAAATCTAAGATAATTCCAAAGGACTCATTATGAAAAATGCTATCCATCTCCAGAGAAAGAACTGATGGAGTCTGAATGCAGATCAAATATACTATTTTTCACTTTCTATAATTTTTCCCTGTTTCCCCCCCCTTTGGGTTTGTCTTCTTTCACAACATGACTAATATGTTTTGATTGAATAGGTATATCCTCTATCAAATTGTTTACTGTCTTAGAGAAGGGGGAGGTGATTGAGGAAGAGAGAAAATTTGGAACTCAAAAGATTTTTTAAAATAATTGTTAAAAATTCTTCACATGTAACTGGGGAAAAATAAAATATTATTTAAAAAAATTACATAAGCTCCCTTCTGTTCTGTTCAGTGCACTTTAAAAAAAAGCTTCATTAATATTCTTATCATTCTTTTTTTCCCTGCTTCACTTTCATTACCCCTTCTTTTTTCATTCCATTTCCTCTGCCAAATTTTAAAAAATAAACTACTTTGTTATCAATAAGCCTACTTAAGCAAGATGAATCTATACACCGGCCATTTCCCAAAATACTCTTCACCTTTCTGTCAAGACTACCTTCCTTTTCAGCTTTTCAATCTTCACGTTACTTTATGAACATGATACGATTGCTAGTAAATGTTTAACAACTAGCTTCCTGAGAAAAACAAGCAAGCAAACAAAACGCACTTTTAAATTTAATCTGTATTATTACCATTTTCTCTATTGCTTTCTTAAGTCTAGCTGATTTCTAGGTGTGAATATTCAAACTGAAAATTTAACAATCCGCCACATTCCTGCATGAGCTAGCCTAACAGGTCTGGTAGCTGGACCCTGAAAATAACGCTGTCCTTCATGGCAGAAGTGCACTCCACCCCGACTGCTGCCTCTCAGAATCTTTAGCTTCCTTAAAAGCCGCTGGGGTAGCCAGGTGGTATAGAGGATAGAGTGCCAGATATGGAGTCAGGAAGACTCACCTTCCTGATTCATGATCTGACCTGAGTTGTACGACCCTGGGCAAGTCACTTAACCATGATTGCCTCAGTTTCCTCATCTGTAAAATGAGCTGGAGGAAGAAATGTCAAACCATTTTAGTATCTTTGCCAAGAAAACCCCAAAAGGGGTCACAGAGTCAGCTACAAAAAAGGCCACCTCCTCTGTGAAGTCTTCCTTGATTCACCCCTAATTGTCAGTTCTTTTTTCCTCAATTTACCTTATTTGTATATGTGTTTTATCCCACCCTTCCCTCTCCGCCCTTTAGAATGAAGGACAGCGTTATTTTCAGGGTCCAGCTACCTGACCTGTTAGGCCCTGGATTCAGGAGGACCTGAGTTCAAATCCGGCCTCAGACACATAACACTCACTAGCTGTGTGACCCTGGGCAAGTCACTTAACTCCATTGTCTAGTAAAAAAAAAAAAAGACTGTCCTGGTGATGGATACAGTGCACAATTCCTAATAATAACTAGCATTTCTAAAGGACTTCACAATTGGTAAAACATTCTACGTATATTATTTCATTTGATTCACGCAAAGCAAATGCTTTGTTACCCACATTTTACAGAGGAAGAAACTGAGGCAAACAGGTTAAATGACTTGCCCAGGGTCACAGAGTAAATATCTGAGGTAGGATTTGAATCCAGCTCTTCTTGACTCCAAGCTCAGCGGCCTATATACCGCACCTCCTAGTTTCCTGCATACCCAGGGCACACTGGAGATACAGAGAAAGCGGGAAGGCAGAGCATCTTAGAAGTAGAGTGCTTGGGCCTCAGGGAGTTCAGGCTCTGGGGTAGAGGAGAAGGACAACCCTTACCTGTTTCTGCTCCAGCACCCGTGCCCAGTCGACTTTTGCCGTGATGTCACATGGCAGCACAATCTTTTCATACAGCTCGCGGTACTCGGCACATTCCTGGGTCACCCGTTCATGTAGCTGCTTGATGCTGCCAAGGGGGTGGTGGGCATGGTGGTCAGAGGGGCATCACCTTGACTCTTCCTGCCTGGCTCCCCTCCTGTGAGGATCAGTGCCCCCTAGCAACCCCTACATTTCTCCTTTCTCGGGGCCGGAGTCTCCCTCCCCCGCGGACCCTGGCCCTGGCTCACTCACTCCTTCTCAATCTCCACTGCCTGCGGATGCTTCAGTCTCTTGGCCTTGTCCATATCCAGGAACAGGTCCTTCAGCAGCATCTCAGCTTCCTTTAGGTCCCGACTGGTCTCCTCTTGGTATTGGAGGGCTTGGTTCTCTTCCCTGTTCATCCTGTCCTGTGGGTACACCTTTTTGTAAACAGGCTATGTCTGCCAGCCTTTCCCCAGGGTACCACTCTGTCCCCGGCTGCCACCACCAACTTAAAGTCCACACTAGCTACCCTGCTGCCCATTGCCAGGGGCTTCTAGAGACAACTTGTGGATAAAATGCTACCTATACCAGCAGTCAGGAAGACCTAGGTTCAAATCCTGCATCTGGTCTTTACTAGCTGTGTGACCCTGGGCAAGTCACTTAACCTCATTGTCTAGTATAAAAAAAGAGTCATTTGACGTCTCTGATCCTCAGCATCCTCATCTATAAAATGGAGATGATAATACTTGCAGGCTTTCTTCAAGTCCTAGCTAAAATGCCACCTTCTAGAGGAAGCCTTTTGCAATCTCTCTCAATGCTAGCGCCTTGATTATTTCCTATTTATTCTGCATATAAAGGTTTTTTTAAAATTAATTTTTAAAAAATTTTTAGTCAATTGGGGTTAAGTGACTTGCCCATGGTCACACAGCTAGTAAGTGTCAAGTGTTTGGTCTGAGGCCGGATTTGAACTCAGGTCCTCCTGACTTCAGGGCTGGTGCTCTATCCACTGTGCCATCTAGCTGCCCCCCTATAATGGTTTTTATACATAGTTGTTTGCTTGTCTCTCATTAGAGTGGGAGCTCCTTGAGGGCAGGGACTGTCTTTTGCCTTTCATTGTAGCGTCAGTGCTTAGCACAGAGCTAACACATGGAGGCTCTTAACAAATCATTGTTAACTCACTGACGGATAGTTATCTACCTCACAGGGCTGTCGTGATGCTCAGCAATGCTCTCTAGTCCTGTTTTTGGGTCCTCAGAAGGCAAGGTGCTAGAAACTGTCCACCTCAGGTAGAAGGGACCTATTAAGTCCTTCAGCACTGCTGAAAAACCCTCTCTCAACCTAGGCCTTCTAGGCAGAGACCTCCATTCCTGGAATGGATGAGGAACAGAGAATAGTACAAGGTGGTCCTAGATGGGAAGCCTCCCTAGAGCAGACGTGAAAGAGGCAACGCAGGACACCTAGGTGGAGCAGTGGATAGAGCTCTGGCCTTGCAATCAGAAGGACCTGAGTTCAAATCCAGCCTCAGACACTTGACACTTACTAGCTGTGTGACCCTGGGCAAGTCACTTAACCCCATTGCCTAACCCCCCCCAAAAAAAAAACTTTAAAGAAAGAAAGAGGCAGCATGTACACAGTACAAAGTGATGGGCCTGGGTTCAAATGCTACCTCTGCTCATCTTGGACCCCAAAGAGGCTCTCAGTTTACTCATTTTTATACTGAGTTCCTTAAGATGTAGACCAAGAGGCCTTTCTCTATCCCTAGCTTTCTCTGTCTAGCACCTTCCTCCTGAGATTACCTTCCATCCATTCTGTATACGGGCAGCTAAGCAGCACAGTAAATACAGCGACAGTGTCAGGCCTGGAGTCAGAAAGACTTATCTTGCTGAGTTCAAATCTGACCTCAGACACTTACCAGATGTGTGACGCTGGGCAAGTCACTTAATCCTGTTTGCCTCAGTTTCCTGCTCTGTAAAATGAGTTGGAGAAGGAAATGGCAAACCACTCTAGTATTTTTGCCAAGAAAACCTCATATATGTATTGTGTTAAATATATATATATATATATAGATTTTATATGTGTGCGTATATGATAATAAACAAACAGGGTTAAGCGACTTGCTCAGGGTCACACAGTTAGCAAGTGTATGAGGCCAAATTTGAACTCAGATCTTCCTGACTCCAGGTCTGGGCCTCCCTCCATTTTGCTGCCTAGCTGTCCTACCTGGTTCATAGGAAGAACTTAATAAATGCTTGCTCATGAACAGAAGGTATTGGACTAGATGATCTCTAAGACTCCTTCCAGGTCTTTTTTTTTCTGCTAAGCCTTTTTTTTTAAATTTTTAAAAAATTATATATAAATTTATTTATTTTTAGTTTTCAATATTCACTTCCACAAGTTTTTGAGTTCCAAATTTCTCACCCCTCCCCCCACCTCAAGATGGCACGCATTCTGAATACCCCTTCCCCTGGTCTGCCTTCTCTTCTATCTCTCCCCCCCTCCTTTCTCTTATCCCCTTCCCCTTCTATTTTCCTGAGAGCAGGATAGACTTCTGTCCTTCCAAGTCTTAACCTGTGATCCTGTGTCCTCTGAATCTTTGGAAGCCACAAGCAAAAAGTGCTGTCCAAAGGAGAAGAGCTCTCTCCTTCCTCAGGCTTCCAAGAAGCCTTTGACTGGATCTCTCCTTTGTCCCTATCACATTTTGCAGTGTATCTACTATTTCTCCACTAGAAGAGAAGCTTCTTGAGGGCAGACCCTAGTCATCTTTGTATCCCCAGCCCCTAGTTCAGCCACTTCTTCACTCAGAGGATAAGGACTGGGTCTGGTGAGGAAACTCGTTCACAGAGTGGCACAGAGCACCGAGAGAGACATGAAGCAACTTGTCCGGGGTCTCACAGCCCGGACTGATGTGTAAAAGGAGGGGTCTGACCTGGGGGCAGCTCTCTGGCCATAACCGCCTGCATATAGTACATGCTTAATAAATGTTTGCTAATGGATAAATAAATGAAGGTTCCAGTACACACCCACACACCCACACACCCACACACACATACACACAAACACACCCCTCTCCCTAACCTCCCTTAGGCCCTTGCCTCACTTAGACTGTCCAGGCCTTACCAGCTTCAGTCTCCTCTGGGTCTCCAGGATGTCCCTCTCCACTTGATCAGCATTGGCCTGCATGCGGGTGATGAGTTGTGCTAGTTCCTGGGTGGAGGCCCTTGGGCGAATCAGGAGGAGAAAGAGGTACTGTTGGATAAATGCTTTGGGGAATGAAGAAATCTGTTTTGCTTAATTATGCATATTTTTTATGAGGATTTCTCTTTCTTTTTCCTTCCTTCCTACCTTCTTTCCTCTCTTCTTTCCTCACTCTCTTCCTCCCTTCTTCCTTCCCTTCCTTCCTTTCCTCCTTCCTTCCTTCTTTTCTTCCCTCTCTTTTCTACCTTCCTCTCTTCTTTCCTTTCTCCCTCCCTCCCTTTTTCCTTCCTCCCTTCTTCTTTCCTTCCTTCCTCTCTTCTTTCCTCACTCCCTTTCCTCCCTCCTTTCCTTCCTTTTTCCTTTCTTCTTTCCCTTTCTTTCCTTTCTCCCTCCCTCTCTTTTTCCTTCCTTCTTTCTTTCTTTCCTACCTTCCTCCCTCCCTTATTTCCTCCCTCCCTTCCTTCTTTCCTTTCTTCTTCTTCTTTTTTTTGTTTTTTTTTTAGCAAGGGTGGGTAGGAGGGAGAGAAAATAAATGCTTGTTAATTGAAAAAAAACCACATTAAATGCTTTGGGGAAGGATTAACTCTTTCACTTCCAACTCTTATGGAAGCTATAACAACCAGGCAGGGTTCTGATCCACGGTAGGCCCCTAGTGGTCTGGGCACATGCTCAGTTGGCCAGATCACTGGATGGGTCAAATCATTGTTGGCCCTTGGTTGGGGCTTAGGAGCTTAGCCCAGGTATGCACTCCACTGCCCTTTGAGGGAGCTGAGGCTGTCCTGGTATAAGCTTCTTGTCTGGGATCTCTTCCTGGTCTGGAGCCCCATTATCTTTCCCTCACCACCACAACCCAAATGACTCACTTTACGCCCTCCAGGCTCAGCAAACAAGATCTCCAACTCTCTGTGGGACCCTAGAGCAGGGGTGTAAGCTATCTAGCTCCTTTAGTCTTCCCCATCCTGGGCCCAGCAGAGCAGGACCCCACCCAGATTCCTCCTATTTCCTTGGGTGGGAGGGAGAGATAGACAGTGAGTCACTGACAATCTGACACACTGAAACACTGCTGTTGAGTCCTTCTAGGATGCAGAGCTGGGCTTCCTCAGGGACAGAACTTCCTCCATAGATTACCACTTCTCCTCTAGCCACCCCGGAGCCTTCTCCAGACTTAAAATTCTTTTTTTTTCTTAGCTTTTTTTTTTCCCCCAGGCAATTGGGGTTAAGTGACTTGCCCAGGGTCACACAGCTAGTAAGTGTCAAGTGTTTGGTCTGAGGCCAGATTTGAACTCATGTACTCCTGACTTCAGGGCCGGTGCTCTATCCACTGTGCCACCTGGCTGCCTTGAGACTTAAAATTCTAAAGACAGAACCCTCCACTTACCCAAGCTCTTATTTGTCCACCCCTACCAAGCACAAAGCAGTGGTGGCCTGGGGCCCTGGATGCCCTTCCTGGCATCCTGATCTTTTAGGGATGTACTCTGTTGTCTCTCCCTGGGCAATGGTACCCTTGGTGGCATTCTCTAGCTAGGAGTCTTATCTGAGATTTTTAATGTTTAATCTAGACAGACACCTGACTCCTACAGCAGTTACCCTGATCTTTATCCCCATAATGAGCCTTTCCTCTTTCATCTTGGGGCCTCCACCTGTCCTGAGACCCAGGATGTGAGATAACTTGACACTTTGATGCCAAGTGAAAAGAGGGGAGTCCAGAGAGGTCTGGAAGCAGGGTCCAAGAGCCCAGCTTGACTACTCATCGCCGAGGTCCAAAAGGCTCCACTATCATTTTCTGTCTCTGATCCATAAGGATCTGAGGCAGATATTTTTAATTTGGAGTCCATGGACACCTCACCTTGCAAAGCATCTGTAGATAGATTTCAGGGGGTTCATGACATCGGATGGGAAATATGCATCTTTATTTTCACAAATCTTTGGTTTCTTCTGTAATTTTATATGTTTTTATTGTACACATTTAAAATATCATTCTGAGAAGGAGTCTATGGGCTTCACCACACTGTCAAAGGGGTCCATGGTACAAAAAAGGTTTAGAACCCCCTGGTCTAAAGGAAGAAGGCAGAGCTGAGATCTTTTGCCCAGAGCAGTCCTGACTAGTGCAGGGCACCCACTCTAATGCCATCGTTTCTGGGCTTCAGTGTCCCTTCCTTTGGATGACAGGATGTCTGACACTCTCAATCACCCTGAGGGACTCTACCGGTGAGCTGGGCAGAGGAGAATACCCAAAGATGAGCTCAGGTCTCACATCTCATTGCAGAGGGGATGGTCACTCAGGATCCCCTTCCTCCCCGAGGTTTGGAAAGAAACTTACCCAACCTAACCAGAGATTAGAAAGACAGATGCCTCATCATTTCCAACATCTCCCCAGACCTGGGCTTCTCCTCTTTCGCTGACCATAGGAGAAACGAAAACTATGGTCCTGAGGAAGAACCCAAGACCTCCAGCCTTGTGGCTTTCAGCAGTGGGCCTAAAGTATCTTCCCTGGGCTCCTGAGTCTGTATGCTCTACATCTCCCCCTAGGTCCTAACACAATGCCAGGGTTCTTAACTTGGTGTCTGGAAACTTGTTTTTTTTTTAAATTAATTTATTTTGAATTATTAACAATCACTTCCATAAGCTTCTGTACTTCAAATTTTTCTCCCTCTCCCTCCCCACCTCCCTCCCCAAAACAGCGCATAATCTGATATAGGCTATATATATGCATTCCTATTTAAACATATTTTCACATTAGTGATGTTGTAGATAAGAATTAGAGCCAATAGGAGGAACCACCAGAAAGACAAAACAAAACACAACAGAAGAAAAAAAAATAGCAAATAGTATGTGGAAACTTGGTTTTTAAAATATTTTGATAACTACATTATACTTGGTTTCCAACAAAATTTAATTATAATACTATAATATAATATATGATTTAAAAAACAATAGAATTGGTTTCTCCTGTAATCCTTTGCATTTTATTTTAAACATTTAAAAACATTACCCTGAGAAAAGGCCTACAGGTTTCACTTGACTGCCAAAGGGATCCAGGGCCCAGAAAAGGTGAAATATTCCTCTGCTCTATGTCTTTAGCCTTGCTGGACATAACTCCTTCCTCTGAGATTCTCTTTGGGTATCTATTCCTGGGGTGGCTAAGAATGCAGCAGGCAGATAGCCTAAGCACCTCAACTATAGAAAGGTCTCATACACACTAAAATAATCATCGCATCATTTTTTTTGTGGTAACAAAAAGGTAGAAGCAAAGCAGGTGCCTGTGGACTAGGGAATGATTTAACAAACTGTGGTACATGATTATAATGAAATATGAGTGCCCCATTAAGAAAAGACAAATAGAAAGAATTCAGAGATGCACAAGAAGACATGTGGACTGATGTAGAGGGAATGAGGGAAACAATACACACAATGATGGCATTGTAAATAGAAAGAACGGTATAATGAAACTGAACTTGCTGTAATTTAATTATAATGACCAAGCTTGGCCCTGGAGAAGAGTTGTAAAAATGTTCCTCCTTCCCTTCATTTGCAAAGGTGGAGGACCATGGCCACGGAATATTGCGACAACTGTCAGATTCAGTTATATGTGGCTTGGTTTTACACGGCTGGTTTTTCTTTTTAAATATTTGTCATAGGGAAGGCACCCCGGACTGAGAAGAGGGGAGGGATATATTTGAAAATGAACGTGTTATAAAAATGAAAGACATCAATTTAAAAAGGAAGACTAATTAATGATCAGTGACAGGCCTATCCATACCCACGCTTTGGGAGGGGGAGTGAAGGCACATATTCCTCTTTACACTCTAGGGGCATCTGAGAGAGGTGAAGCCAGGAGCTGCTGCCCCCAGAAGGATTCTCCTAGAGACTGGCCTTCGTCGGTGATCAGGACCCTCACTCACACCTCTGCGGTCCATCTGCGCGCTAGGGGAAAGTTTCTGTCCTCCCTGATTGCTTTTCTTGGCTGTGCAGCTTGAAAGGAGCTCATTGGCTACCCAACACCTCCTAGGGGTCACCCCATAGCTCTGGAATCCCACCCTCAAACGTGCCAGTCACCAGGTTCCATTTGGGGAAGAACTAACTGCCCTGGTCTATCAGGCATTGTTTAAGAGTATCACCTCCACTTCCATAAACCTCAGCTTCTCTCTATATAAAGTGTGCATAAGAGAACCGGCACGGCTCCCTCTACCTTCGCTCTCTAGGCGCCGGAGCTCAAGAGAGACAAGACAGATTCCCTGCCCTCAGTCTTTTTGGCCTCGGGAACTTGGGATTCCTGAGTTGGGCTAGGTTCTGGGGCTGTTACCGGCCGCCTCCAGGTTGGTGGGGGCCCATCCTCGACAGAACACCACCCTCCCATCTCCCCACCTCCACCGCACGTACGTACCCACCTACCTGGCCCCCTCCTCACCTGCTGTGTTTGCTGGGGGAGCCCTTAGGAGAGCCCTTGGAGACCCCCTTCCCAGGGGAGCCTTTACTTAGCCCCTTAAACATAGTGGTAGAAAGAGGGGCTGTGTTCAGGCTCAGCTTGCGGCTTGGACACAGGCTAAGGCTCAGGCTCAGGCTCAGGCTCCAGCCGAGTAGGTCCCTGGTGTCTCTGCCCGGGTTTTGTGTAGGGCGGAGGATCTGGCCTGGGAAGGATAGTTTCTGGGAGGCTCCTCCCTGCAGGTGAGCGTAGCTGAGCGGGCTGGGAGCTCCAGCTGTCCACACACCTCAAACCACCCCCCTTCCACCACACCCCCACATAACACACACACACACACACACACACACACACACACCACACACACACACACAGAGTGCCCTAGCACAACCAGTTTAGGAGGAAAGTACAGCCCAGAGGGTGTGGCAGAAGAGCCTGCCCGACTCCCAGAGAATGTTTGGGCTTGTTCTACCCACACACACCCAGAGAAAGAGAAAGCCACCCAGAGATCAAGGGAGGAGGGGTACCCAAGATTCTGTTGCGGCTGGGGAGATGTTCAGGGACAGCGATGAGGGCAGGGACACAGACAGTGCAAGGAAAGTCCAGCCAGAAAGAAAAGAAATCTTGTCTAGGAAATGAGTCCAGAGAAGTGGACATGTAGAGATGAAGACAGTCCCTTTCTCCTTACAGGAGATATGCACGCAATCTATACACACGCACTTCAACGGATCATGAAAGCAGGTATAGAAAGAGCTGGGTCCCCCTCTTTTCCCAGAAGTCACCAAATATCTGGCACATGCCCCCAACCCCTCTGTTCACGATGATTCCAAGCACCCTTCTCATTTAAATAATTTTAGGTTTTAAGACTCCTAGAATCTGTTCTCAGCTCTGTCCCTAATGTACTCAGATTTCACAGATCCAGAGAACGCCAGAGCTGCCAAGTGACCTTAGAAATGAACTAAGCCAACCCCTACATCTTTCAGATGCAGAAACATAAGGTTCAATTCATTATCAAGGGCAGAATTTTTTTTTTTTTGCTCTCTCTTCCCACTAACCACGAGGAGATTGTTCCTGAGGGTAAAGGGGCATTTGTCCAGTAACCTGGGAGTTAATCTGCGGTTTGTTACATATTCTAGAAAGAAAAGAGAGAAGCAGTACCCTGAGCCCTTGGAAAAGTTACTTACTGGCTAGACCTTCCAATGACCGATGTTACCAAAGAGCCATCCTCCAAGACGGAAGGTCCTCAGAGGTCACCCAGTCCAACCCCTATCAAATGTCTCTACAATATTCCTAACAAACTATCATACAGCCGCTGATGGAAGACCTCCAGTAATGGAGAACCCCTCCACCACCTAGGTCAACATATGCTTTTGGGCAGCCTGTAAACTGTTAGGAGTTTTGAGTGGAAATCAACATTTCTGCAATTTCCATCCATTGTTCATTGTTCTGTCCTTTGGGACCAATCAGAGCAGGTCAAATCCCTCTTCCTTGTGACATCCCTTCATGTATTTGAAGTCTTGTTTTCTCCGTGCTAGTTGTCTCTCCCCCTTAGCTGATACAGAACCAGCCCAGGAGCTTCAAAAGGTTCCAGGCTTTTCTCTGGGGAGACATAAACTTCTGCCCTGACCCTACCCCACAGCTATTTCCATCCTTGGACTCTCTAAACACCAATCCAAGAACTGGTCCTGAGAACAGCATTGAAAATGTCTCACAGGTTCACCTAGAATCAAATGAAATAATATATGTAGGACACTTAGCAAACCTTAAAGCCTTACATAATGGCTATTATTAATATTATAATGCAAGCAAGGAGAAAGAGAGATGGTACTATAAGAGCTATTACCATGGCCTGATTCCACCTAGAATTCAATGAGAGCATCTGTGTTTGGATGCTCTGCAAGGAAACTGAAATGCCAATCTCTAGGTGAGCTGGCCTCAGAGAGAAGATCTGGGTTCAGGGCTTGCCTCTGACTCATACTGGCTGTTCCCTCAGGCAAATCGTTCAATATCTCAGTTGTCCAGGGAACTCCTGACTATAAATTGCAGGCCAGGCGCCAATTTGCATTGGTAGAGGGTTTTTTTCCGCTGGGAGTTCTCTATACCAATGAAATCATAGGTCCTAATAACCATCCCTTCTTCCCCACCTTCCACCCCCAAGAAAAGAGCTGGACTAAATAATGTCTAGAGTCCCATCCAACTATAACATTTGGATTTTATGAACTGCATTGAAGAAGATCTGATGGGCCATGCATCTAAGAAGAAACATGAGGCTGATGCTTATGTGAACTGAGAAGACAGATGTATAGATAGATAGCATTCATATAACACTTTAAGGTTAGCGAAGAGTTGTAGATGTATCATCTCATTTGAGGAAAGTCTTACATTGTGGGAATATGTTTTGCTTGACTGCAGATTTATTACGAGGGTTTTGTTTTTCTTTTATTCACTAGAGGGAGGTGGGTTAGAATTAGGATTAGAAAGAAATGAGAGAGAAAATGGATTTTTGTTCACGAAAAAAAATTTTTAAATAAAATTTTAAAACAAAGAAAAATGTTTTGCCAAGCCTATAGCAGGGTAGAATATCCTGTCTTCCCTATTGAAGAACAGATCCAAGACTGAAAGTCAAGACCCAGATTTTAGTCCCAGTTCTGTTGCCAAATAAACCACTACACACTTTAGGTGGTTCAGGTAGAGGCCAACTAGAAAGCCTCTCAGTCCTGGGCAAGACACTGAAGATGAAGGGGCCCATGAACACGGCTAGGCACAGCCAAGGTTGTAAAAATGCCAATACTTGCCAGATGTATTTATATATTCAATACTACCCTCTGTATATCTGTATATCCATAGTATTGGATAAAAAAAATAGAGTTCATTTGAAAAAACAGGCAAGAATATGAAGGGGAATTATGGTGGGAAAATGCTGATGAAGGGGAATTTGTACTGCAGTGCCTTTCCTCAGAGTTTGTCCCCAATTTATCCTCTTGGTATCTTCATTGTATATAGCAGTCTGAGTGTAGTTCCCTTAATTAGACACTGTAAACACCTTGAGAGAAGAGACTATTTTTTTGCCTTTCTTTGTATTCCCAGTGTTTCACGCCGTATCTAGCATCCAGGAAGTGCTTAATAAATGCTAGTTGACTGACTATGAAGTGACAAAATTATCTAGTTCTGGATTTTAAAAAAATAGTAAAATACATTAATGGAACAGAACAGAAAATCCAGAATTAGAATCAAAGGTAAACAAAAGACTAGTGTTTGGCTCCAAGATTATAAAACAGTGGGGGGAAAAATCATTATTCAATAAAAATCATTGGGAAAACTTGGAAAGACATTTGGCAAGGGGCAGCTAAGTGCAGTGAATAGAGCACCGACCCTGGATTCAGGAGGACCTGAGTTCACATTTGGTCTCAGATACATAATTCTTATTAGCTATGTGACCCTGGGCAAGTCACTTAACCCCACTGCCTAGCTAAAACGAAAAAAAAAAAGTTTGGCAAAAATTTATTTAGACCCACACTTCACCCTATATATATATAATACACCCAGTTTCCTTTTTTTGGTCATTTCTCCAATTTGATGAATGTGAAGTGAAACCTCAGGATTTTTAAAATTAGAATTTCTCTTATTAGAGTGTTTATGTATGTGTATGAGTGTATGTATAGTAAATTCCAGTTGATATTAAAAGAAACTGCAATGTATCCTTTTCAGACCTAAACAAATCTTATTAAAAAAGGTAAACAAGAAAGAAGTTAGGGACTTGAGTAGAATTTTTATAAAATGAAAGAACTCTGGCAATTATCAATAGAAAAGGGATACACATATACATATGTGTGTGTGTACCATCTGTGTATGGCACCTTGCAAAAAATTGTCATTTGTGTCACAATGATCAATGTGCTAAGGCACAAAAACCTCAGAAAGAAATGTATACAAGCAGCAATATTAAACATATTCTTTATTGATGATAACACACTAAAATATGAATAAGAGGCCTTTGAAGAAAGCATTCAAATTAAATGGAGACTAAGTAATTTAATTCTAAAGAATGGGTGGGTCAAAGAACACAGAAATGGTAGATAATTTTATTAAAAAGTAATAAGACAACATATCAAAACTTTTGGGATGCAGAGAAAACAATCTTTAGGAGAAAATGTATATCTCTAAACATTTTAATCAACAAAAAGAATAAAACAGTGATTTGTTCTAAAATTTTTTAATAAGTAAAAAAATCAAAATAAAAATTATATTCTGAAAATTGAAGCAGAAATAAAATTAAAAATGAAAACTTGAACTGATAAAACTAGGAGTTTTTAAAAAAACTAATAAAATAAATAATAATAAACTTAGATAATCTGATTTTTTCAAAGTTGTGGAAAACCAAATTGCCATTGTCAAAAATGAAAAAGGAAGATTCACAACAATTGAGAAGGAATAGTGGAGAAAGTATAGAAGCTATTTTGCCCAATCATATGGCAATAAAACTGATAACTTAAATGAAAAGTATTAATATTTACCAAAAAATTAAATACCTAGATAAACAGAGCCAGAAATAGCAAATTTGAATAACTCAATTTCATAAAAAAGAAATTGGACAAACAAAAAGGATCTTCAAAATGGAAAAAAAACACCCCAGGATCAACTGGGTTTACAGTCTAATTACATCATATATTCAAAAAGCAAGTAATTATAATAGCATACACATTTTTTTTTAAAGCAATTGGGGTTAAGCGACTTGCCCAGGGTCACACAAGCTAATAAGTGTCAAGTGTTTGGTTTGAGGCTGGATTTGAACTCAGGTCCACCTGACTTCAGGGCCGGTGCTCTATCCACTGTGCCACCCTTTTTAAAAAAATTTTTTTCAAAAATAGAGAAGGAAGAAGGCATCTTTTCAAAATTCTTCTATGAAGCAAATATTGTTCTAATACCTAAACCAGGGAGAGATAAAGCAGAGAGAGAACATTATAGACCAATATCCCTAATAAGTATAAATGCAAAAATTGATATTAACAAAGATGCTACAGTAATATATTTAAAAGATTATACATTATGAACAAGTTGGGTTTATGAGAGCATTGTTGAGATGGCTCAACATTAGGAAAATTGTAAACATAATAGGCTACCTTAATAATAAGGGCAGCATGTAGTGAACACTATACATCAGACAGATTAACATCTAATAGAGACTATCCAGCAGGACAATGTCTAGCAGAGACGATGCATCTACACAGGCAAAACCTGGAAGAGATTATTTATCCAATCAAGCCATATCCAACAAAGACTATGCTTCTATCAAGCAGCTTATAGT